TGCACAAGGTACCAAATCCACTCTAATTGCACAACCTGAATTTTCCATCATGGGGTAGACTCCCACCCACAAAATAGCAACTTTCTGGGCATGACCTTAGCAATTTGTTATATTGAAAGAGCTGAAGGAACTGTGGACACTTCGACTGTCTCTCTATTCAGGTGAGATTCAATCACTTGCTGGTCAATTCATGTTGTGCAGTTTTAAACAGATTAGGAGATATTGTGCAACAAACCTGCATCTCCAAAAGATCAGAGTTTCTGCAATAAAGAAAAGTGACAGGGAAATGCACTGGAAAGCATAGGGTAACACCTGCTTTGGCAACATCATCTAACCTCCTTGCAAACAAATCATCTGGAAATGCCCTGTATCCCCAAACTGAGGAACAGTGGAAGGGCTCGTTTTTGCCCAAGTTTTCTCAGCTCTTCCTTTGCTATTCAAATTGGCAGCTGGGGAAAATAGGAAAAGCAGCCGCAGCCAAATTGGAGCAACCATGCAGCCCCAAAACAGGATCTTCCCCATCAGGCTACAATAAGAGACAGGCCTTGCCTCCAGTTTCCTACTGTGGGCTTTCCCTGTGGCTTCCCACCACGGTATTGGAGCCGTCTCACAGCTCCTCTCTCCTCCTGCCCAGCGAGCCAACCTGGAGAGTGCTGTGGCACAGGCTGAAGAGCAAGGGGAGCAGGCTGTGCAGAGTGCCAAGGGTGCCATCCAAGACCTGGAGGAGGCTCTGAGGCGGGCCAAGCACGATATGGCTGGCAAGGTGCGAGAATACCAAGAGCTGATGAATGTCAAGCTGGCCCTTGACATAGAAATTGCCACCTATCAGAAACTGCTGGAAGGAGAAGAGAACCGGTAAGCAAGGTCCTGTGGGCGGTAAGCAGTGTTAGTCCTGTTGAGAGAAGACTCCTTGAAGCTGATAGACATGAGTCCCTTGGATCCATTCATTTCTGTGGGTCTGCTCTGAGTAGGATTTAGTTGGATGCAGCCCTAACTTTGGTGGAACACGCCATGCATGGATGGGGCAGGTGGGAGGTTGGTGAATCAGTCGCTCTGCACCTGGACATCTAGGATTGGCTGTTCTGCGTGACATCACTATGCTGTCACATGGGAAGCTGCTTCTACAGAGTCAGACTGACAGTCTATCTAACTCAGTATTGCCTACACACCATGGGCCACAATCATGGTTTTGGAGGTTGTTTGCACTAATGGGTGTGTGGCCACCCCACTCTGTCTGTCGGTCTGTGTCTATCATGCGCGCGCACACACACACACACACACACACACACACAGGCATCCATGTTCCTCAGATGATCTGTGCAGATCAGTTGAGGGGGTGCATTAGCATCAGCCCCCCTCCTTTCATCAGATGCACAAACTGATTACCAGGAAGTGTGCTATATTTAACCCTATCAGGTGCTTTGCTCCACTCATCCCAGTTTTCTCTCTCTGTGTGTGCGTGTGTGTGTATTTGCCATTGCCAAAATCAGCAGGGGGTTGGGAGGTAAAAAAATAAATGTGGGGTGGGGGCACTTGAAACACTAAAACACCCTTGTTCCATCACATGTTTCCCCCCTTCTCTTAGGATGGGTGGCCGGGCTCCAAGTCAACAGTTCAGTGCTATAGACAAACTAGGTAAGTGTATTTCCTACTCTGATTGAAGCTGTGCATGAAGTTCCCTAGAATAGTCCCAAGCCTGTGGTAAAAATGGGTGCTCATAAAATGGAGGCGGCTGGTAACTCCATCAATCTCTCCTGCCATCCTCAGGATTCTTCTGGTAACGTGGCAGCCCCATCCTTGCCAAACGGGTTCCCTTTGAGCTTTTCTAGGTTTCCTAAACGACTAAACAACAACAACAAATTTTTTGCTATTGTCATCACTCATCACTGCATTTTTCAAATATTTGTTGAATATTTGACATCTCTGTCGGACACTGGAAGACATTCGATTTTAACATTTGGTATCTGGCAGTCTGATACTGATTACAGTTCTTGATAGTTGATTATGTGTCATGGTATTTGGCATTTGACAGGCAAGACTTTCTACCCAGTGTGTCTGCCATGATGTGGACCCAACTTAGTTAGTTGTTATCTTGAGGTCTCAGTATTTAAACTTTTACATGTGTTAGCTGAACAGAAAACAGTAGAAACTTATTTTAAATGTAATCAAGAGATTTTGTCCACACACACACTACAGAAGGCTCCAGAACACCTCAGTTTTTCTTATGCTTGTTTGGCCTGCCTCTTGACCTTAATACTGAATGATGCCCCACAAGAAGCCAGAATTTCATGTAATATATTGGGTGCCTCCTATCATCTGCAGGGTTCTGCATCCTCCTTATAATTCCACCTCTGCTCAAGACCCTTTGGGTTCCTCAGAATGGTATCCTTGCTCAGTCTCCATTAGTGCAAAATATATTGGTCCTGTTTCTGGTTCTATATCTGGGTCTGGGTTTCTCCCTCCCTCTCTCTCTCTCTCTCTCTCTCTCTCTGTGTGTGTGTGTGTGTGTGTGTGTGTCTGCAAATTCATGTAAATCACTCGCTTAGTGCAAATGGCCAGTTGGCCTTCTGGCTCCTGGACCTGCTGCTAACTTGCTTGAATGGCATTTCTAGCTGCCTCCTCTTTCTCAAATCACTTTGGGGGGTCAAATCAGGAGTCTCTTGCTTAAAGCCATCCTTCTTTGATCTCTTGACCCAGATTTCTAAATCCATCCATTGCTTATGCAGCTGGGCTCCTGAGACAGGGGATGGCGCTGCCTGCCCACAACATGGCACCTGGGGGGACTTCCTTGACCAACAACAACTCACTGAAGAGGCCCTTGCTCATCAAAACCATCGAGACCAAGAATGGGAAGATCCTCTCTGAGGCCAGTCACTTCTCAGAAAAGTAGCCGAAGCAGAACAAGCCAAAGGCCAATCAGGCCCCAGTGCTTAAAAATAAATGAGTGTTTTAAAGCCTTCTACAGATCCTTGTTTTCTTTACTTGTCCACACAGTGGGTCTATTTCCTCTCTAAGCCATCATAGGCAGGCCAGAACCCACTGCTGGTAAACTGGTGTGGGTGATGCATCCCTTTGACACAGGGATGGGGGACCTGCAGCCCTCCAGAGCAGACTTCCTCACCCTCGGCCCTCCAGATGTTTTTGGCCTACTACTCCCATGATCCCTAGCTAGCATGACCAATGGTCAGGGGTGATGGAACTGTAGTCTGAAAACATCTGGAGGGCTGAGGTTGAGGAGGCCTGCTCCAGAGGTTGACGAACAACAACTCTCATCAGCCCAGCAGCATGACCATTGTTCAAGGATGCTGGGAGTTGTAGTGTCGCAAACATCTGGAGAACCAAAGTTTCCCCCATCCCTGGTTTAATTCCATCAATATTATCCTCAGCTGCACCAAGTTTTTTGCATGAGTCCTGATAGCAGCTCCAGGCATTTGGTCCCTAATCTTCCATTTTTGCCCATGCGTCATATAGGTTTATTTTTTGCTTGCGGAGATAAAGATAAAGTGTACAACAGTGGACACTGGACATTTTGCATCCAGGATGATGGCTTTTTCTTGGATGCTGAACAAGACTGAATTCCTGTCTTATCCTGGCCAATCCTGAGCATCTGACTTTGCTAGTCATTCCTTCACTCCCTTGTTATTCTAGAGAGGACTGGCCCAACCCTTTGGGTTTTGTTGAAGAAACAATTGTCATTGTTTGCCCTTAAAAGGCAAGCTGGTACTTTTGGAGACAAGAGTGGGGCATAACTTATGTCTTTTAGAGAAGAGGGATGATGTTCCTAGGGGAGAAGCATCATGGTAGCCTACAGTTTGAAAGTTCAGATGCATTTGGGGTGGGAGGAGGTAGCCTGATGTGCAATGGATAAAATGCTTGGAATGGCCTTCTCTTCTTTTCTGAGCAGAGGCTCTGCCACTTTCATGTTCTGAAGAGAATCCAGCACAACACTGACGCTACAGAAAGAAAAGCAGGAATGCAGTTCAGAGCTCTTTGTACCGAAACTTGTGCAACCATCCATTGGGGGGGGTTAATGGGGATGGGATGGAGCGTGACCCTTAAGGGATCCTACCGAGAAGGGTTTGAATCTTGTAAATCGTGCTCCAAGAAGATAGGACAAAAACAGCTGCCTTATACAAAGTCAGACCACTGGTTCATCCAGCTCAATATTGTCTACACTGCCTGGCAGCAGCTTCCGGATTTCAGACAGGGTACATTCCCAGCCCTATCTGGAGATGCTGGGGATTGTACCTGTGACCTTCTGCGTGCTAAACAGATGTTCCACCACCGAGCTACAGAGCAGGAGAACCTAGGAACACTCAGGTCCTGCTTGTGGGCTTCCTGTAGGCATTTGGTTGGCCTCTGTGAGAGTAGGATGCTGGACCAGGTGGGACTTTGGCAACATCCAATGAAGCTCTTCTTCTAAAGCCTGTCTCTGAGCTTCAGTTCAGCAAAGTTTCCTGCTAAAGCAAGAACGGGGAACTCCTGGCCCTCTAGATGCTGTAGGACTCCAGCCCATGAAAGCATGTGCTTTAATACAATCTGTTAGCCAGGAATCTATAGCAATAAAATGATCTGCATCCCCTTAAAAGTGGATTGTGAGCAGAAGCAAATGTGTGATACGAAAGAACTGGGTTCTGGGGTTTGACACTAGCAAGAAGCCAGCTCCCCTGCCTGCCAGCTGGAGAGACCCGATTCCGTTCTATGTATTCTGTACAGTTCCATGTTTCAGCAGCATGCGTTGCAGGGAGTTGTACTAGATGACCCTCACAGTCCCTTCCAACTCTACAATTCTATGATTCCATGTGAGCATAACCATTGCAAGGCTGTCCTGCAAGCCCAATCCACGTGCTCCGGAGGTGAGTTTTTGCATTAAGAAAAATAGGACGCTTTTGGGCTGAGCCCCTGGCTTAGATAAGTCCTGTTTGGTTGCCCTCCTGTGTGAAAGGCAAAGCACTTTAGGAGAATCTGCAGGACTTCAGCTTTTTGCTGACTGTGTCCCTAATTTACTGCAAGCCTCCAGGGCTATCTTTGCACCATAGGCTAGCTCAGAACCACTAGGAGGCAGATGAGCCTCTAAGCAATCAGACCCTCTACAGGCCTGCAATTTGCTAGCAGCTACCAAGGGGTGTGACTATACAATCTGGAGGAGGGAAACAGCCTTTCACTGTGGTTTCCAGCTCCTCTTCTCCCCCAACCCACGCCTGCTTTCTCAGTTCCCTTTTCGGTCAAAGATGGTCCAAGATACGCTACTATCTGATAGTAGCTGAAGATGGGCCAGCCCTCGAGCAGAGCGAGGTATCCAAGAAGCACCTGACAAGTCCTTGCTCTCATCACCACATGGCTGGGTGTGCATTGGGAACTGGTGTCAACAGGAGCTCTGCCCAGGGAAGGCTGATAAACCTCCAGGTTAGTTTGTGCCTGTCTGGCCCTTGATATTTCACCTTGATTAGGAGGGTGGGAAGGAAGGAAGGAAGGAAGGAAGGAAGGAAGGAAGGAAGGAAGGAAGGAAGGAAGGAAGGAAGGAAGGAACCCAGGCCACTTGCCAGTCACTGGGCTGCATTACTCAGCTGAATCCATTTGCACAAGGTCACAAGTTCATGGAGAGGAACTCACAGTAAACCTACCCAGGGGAAAGGATGGCTATGTCTATTTTGGTTTTTCATTTTTCCAATCTTAAATTCAGTTCTCCACATTACCACATCAGTTGGCAAGTTGTCTGTCTGTTAGTTTTTAAAAGTCTTCATGAAAATTCACCAGGATTTTAGTGCAACTTTTTCCTAATATGCAGTTTTGTATACTATACATGCTTCGCAAAGAAATTTTGCCTAATATAATGCATTTTAAAATGCTATTTTCACTGATAGATGCATTTATATGTATTTACCCTGGTACAGTAAATGCATTGTTATATATAAAGTGGCTGGAAAGCGGCGCTGCAAATTTCAGACAGGTGTGAATTTTGAAGGGTGTCTGTGTCTCAGTTCATGCACTTTTTTTCCTTTTTTTTTTCTTTTTTGAAAACTTGAATTAGGCAGCTTCAGTGCCAGATTACCAGATAGGAAGAGTAGGCACCAGCCTATGGGCCCCATGCCTTTTAGGGGTCCTGCGACAACAGATCAAAATATTGATTTGTTCTTGAAAGAAAATTACAATCATGCTTTCTTGGTTCAATGTTATCCCACTAGAGTGGGGGCCCGCAAGATTTCAACTGCCTAGGGGCCACAGGGTTTAATCCAGCATTGGGCAGGTTTGCTTTTAAATGCTAATGAATGAAATTTATCCTCCTTACCCAGGAGCGACTCAATCATAATGGAGCACAGACCACATTGTTTCCCCATTAGCAATAAAGGATTCTAAGGGTTACCAAAGGTCTTGATTTTGGGAGTAGCGCTCATATTCCACAGAGGCTCACTATGCAGTCACACTATGACTCCATGGCTATAGAGCACTGACAGAAGCCAAGAACTGGGAGTGAGCAAAGCAGTGTCCTTAAGACTGGTGACAGGGACACTTGGCTGAGGGTAAGTCCCATTGAAACTGAAAGCAAAAATAAATAAATCCAGAGTTCCTTAAAATATTTCGCAAGCAAAATTTGCTTGGTAGGTTGTTGTTTTTTTTAAAATGGATCATTATTACATGAAAAATGCTGCCCTTAAATGAGACTGGAGAATCAGGCTGTTCCAATAAGATCCACACATTGCTCACTGTTTGCTGTCTCCCGCTCTCTCCTACAACTCCCATCATTCCTGACCATTGGACGTGTTCAGCGTCTGGAAGGCAACAGGCTCCCTCTGTGCTACAGTTCATTTTTGTTTTTTCGCTAGGGTCATCCCTGTTAGTGACTTGTTTGCAGGTTAATCGGTACTGCTTCTGGGGCCAGCCCTTGAAATCATATCTGTATAAAAATAAAAATGTTGCCTGCCTTCTCTCTCAGCTCAGCATGCATCCCATCATTAATCTTCATCATTTCCATTTTTAATAAGTTAATATTGAACTTGTTTCTAAATCCTTTCCTCTCATCCTTCTTTCTCTCATGCCTCTTCTCCTGACTGCTTTAGAATACTCTTGTCCATTGCATGCAGCTGCTGACTGACATATGAATAAGGCTTGGGCACTGTACTAATTATTATTAATACTTATTGTACGTGAGCACATCTACTGGCAGATTAGCATGTTGATCCCATTCACAAAATGATTTCTGCTGAATCATGCCCAGCAAAATACCAGGCAGGAAATCTTCCACATGGTAATTCCCAGGCCATGTGTGAAGCTCAACAACAGACACAAATTACTGTTGATATATTGCAGGAAATGAAATGCCCCTATGAGCTCCAAAATGCCCACCAACAGAAGAGGCTGCTTATTGCTTCTCTAGATGATTCACTGCTCTGAATCTTGCCTCTATTCAAGCAGAACAACAGCTCCCATAGAGGCCTAAGGCTTAATAATTATTCTTATCATTTAAATAGACAGTGCAATCAGGATGCCCCCCTTTCCCGGCAAGTACCTCGCCTTTCCCATTTCCACTGCTAAAGCCCTGTCATTATTCGAAGAAAAGACACTTTGCATATGTTCTCAGTAATATATATTCTCAGTTATAGATACATATAGACCCATGCTTCAGTATCAGAAGCATGGCGGGGGGGGGACGGACTCCCTACCTATTGATATTAGGCAGATGCCCTTGCTGTACAGTGGTACCTCTGGTTATGAACTTAATTCGTTCCAGAGGTCCGTTCTTAACCTGAAACCGTTCTTAACCTGGGGTACCTCTTTAGCTAATGGGGCCTCCTGCTGCCACACCACCAGCATCCAATTTCTGTTCTCATCCTGAGGCAAAGTTCTTAACCCGAGGTACTACTTCCGGGTTAGTGGAGTCTGTAACCCAAAGTGTTTGTAATCCGAGGTACCAGTGTACTGTTTTTGGCACCAGCTAAGTGTTTTTGTTTAAGCAAACCTACCTAGACATGTAAATCTGACCTGTATTTTAATGCAGTATGTAACTTTATTTTAAAGTGTATATATTTTAAAAATACTAGTATTGTGTTGAAATTTTTGTTAACATCTTATTTTATTGGCAATTTTATCATATATCTTATATTTTATGTAAACCATTTAGATGTTTTGAGGATTAAGCAGTATGGAAATTCTCTTCACAAAATCTAATGGATGAGGCAAAATTCAATCCACGCACATGCAAGAAAAGCATGTGTGTGGGTTGAATTTTCCCCACAGCACCTCTGGTTCACTCTCACACACAGTCCTCATCTAGACATAACTCTATGCCAAATAATGGTTTAGTGTGAATGAGCAATCATAATGTTTTGCTCCTCCCCTGAGGTTTTGCTCCTGCAGTGTGCTGAGATGTGAGCAAACCATGAGCCAGGGTTTGGATGACACACTAAGCCAAACCATGGCTCAGTAGCAAAACAACTGGGGAGAGACAAAACACCACAATCTCATCTCCATGACCACTAAACCATGGTTTGGCTTAGTGTTGCATGTGAACCAGGCCACAGTGGAAGTAAATCTTTTGGGGTGCAAAAATGAATCTAATTTCAGTTGGGAGGAAGGGAAGTGTTATTGAGCTGATAGTCATTTGGCAAAGGCAACTTTAACAGCATACCAGATTAACCCTTTATGCAGGCTATCATTGCATGGGTAGGCTTTTCTTTGCTTCTTAAGCTGGTCGCTCTTAAAGCCCCTTAAAACCACCCTGTCAAATGATTCTTTCCTCATTTTATTCCACTTTGTTTTCAGCCTTTCGAGAAAGACGGCAGGGCCTCAGCAGGGATGATTTCCGCTGGCAATTATGTCACTCGAATAGCTTAATTGACACTCTTAAACACAGCCAGATGGTAGGAGTCTCCCTCTAAAAAGCCTGTTGCCTCTTCTTTATGAGTGTCTTAAAATAACACCACTGGTTCTTTAGTTAGTGGCTCTTGACTGCAGAGTAGCTGCAACATGAGGTAATGCCACACGTATTTATCCCGGCCCTCAAAAGCTTTGCCAAACAACTTCATGATGGTCTTCCTCCTCAACTGTTTTTTCTAGCTATATCCACACCATACATTAAAAACCCTATTATTATTATTATTATTATTATTATTATTATTATTATTATTATTATTACAGTGGTACCTTGGGTTATAGACGCTTCGGGTTATGCATTTTCAGGTTACGGACCGCAGGAAACCCGGAAATACCAGAAAGGGTTACTTCCAGATTTTGCCAATCGCACTTTGCACATGCGCAGATGCACCAAATTGCGTCACGCGCATGCGCAGATGCAACACTGCAGGTTACGAACGCTGCGGGTTGCGGACGTGCCTCTGTCATGGATTACGTCCGCAACCCGAGCTTCCACTATATTCAGCTTACAACAAAAATCCAAATTCTCCGTCAGGCAACAGCACACAACAAATGCCAAGGTAAGTATTGTTCATCCCGCAAGCTAAGCAATATAAGCACCAAGACATTGTTGTTGTTTAGTCATTTAGTCGTGTCCGACTCTTTGTGACCCCATGGACCAGAGCACGCCAGGCACTCCTGTCTTCCACTGCCTCCCGCAGTTTGGTCAAAACCAAGACATTACCGAATTTAAAAATTGTACAAGCCAGATATTCCAGAATACTGATGGCACAGGCCAGCCGGTCTCTTCCTTATTTGCAAAGGTCATGAAACTCTGCCACTCTGTTGCAAAACTGTCCTTTTTCCTTCCGGTCTCTAGCTGTTCATAAACAATGAGTCAATTTCTCAACCAAAACTCTAGTCTATGCTTTCGTATACCACCGTTTCACGGTAAGCCTTTTCAGGTCCTTCCAATATCCAGCTATCCGTCTTCACTGCTACCAAGAGGTAGCCAATCAATACGTTAGAAATTTCTAACCAAGTTCCAAAATTGAGGAACTTTTTTTACAGCTCCACCACATGTGAGTAAAATAACCCACCTCCCCACAAATCCCTGGAAAGAGGGATTTATTGAAAAACCTCTCTGCAAATTGTAGCTCTGTGAGTCAAATAGGGGGTCTCATAACGACTCTCAGCATCCTTTGCAAACTATTCTTCCCATCATTCTTTGGAGGAAGCCATGACTGTTAAAGTGGTATAATAGTGCTTTAAATGTATGATGCAGATGTGACCCCAGTTGCTCCTTAGCACCTAATCTGTGGCTTCCAGGGCCCTACCATTAGGCAGAATACGAATGCCTCAGGTAGAAGATTTTGTGTGTCGTGAAAGGGTATCAAGTTGTTAATTATTGAATTTATGATTGTTGCATTTTTCCTGTCAAGGAGGAGTGTTTGTGGGATTTATCTGCCTCAGGTGTCAAAATAACTTGACCAGCCATGAGTACTATGCCCCATGATCTGAGGTGGAAGGTTACTGCACTGCCATAGGCAACGAACTATCTTGAGCCATCCCTGCCACCTGCACTGCTCAGTGTTGGGAAATGATTTCATCTCCTAAGACAACAGCTTAACTTTCAAGATTCCATTATCTTATGGCTGGACAGTCTCTGAGCATTTCCCAAAAGGATATGTCATGAGCCAAATAAAATGTCTCTGGGTATTTAGGTTTGAAAGGTGGTCAAAAGGACCATGGAGTTCACAAGAGATTTCAGGGCTGTGGGTCTCAGTGAAGAAGTCTCTCTCTTACTCATTTTCTAACCGAAGCCTAACTGCAAAACACTTTGGGGCTCTTTATAAAGACTGCTAACATTTGACATGCATTCTGAGAATGGGAATTTTGGACAAGCTTACCCTTCCTTGGTCCAACTGGTTTAAAATATTTCTTCACTTTTTTTTTCTTAAAAAAATGAGGCATCCGGTTTTAATTCTGTTACCAGATCTGCTTACGTGTCTATAGATCTGCACCCTTGACAGAAATATCACTTTTAGGGATCTTTACTGGAAATTATCAGACAAGACAAATGCTATTGCAACAGACATGATTACTTTTTTTAAAAAAAGAAAGACCAGCCTTGTCTTGCTTATTTGGGAGAATGAGCAAGAACTATCAAGTGCTAGTCTAAATTAATATCACTGTTTATTACTTATTTATATCTAGGGGTAACTAATCCCAGTTCAGAGGTAGCGAGTCTAGGGAACTATAAGGAAGGTAGGGATAGGAAGGGGGTGGGATGTTAATAATTACCTGTCCTGAGGAAGGGAGAATTAAGAGCACTGGCTTTCTGAGTTTCACCATGACCTGCAGGGGCACAATCATGGCCAAATTCAAGGTTTCTGCCCAAGGCTAAATGTTAAATATTTAGTGGCCAGCCCAGCTAGCTATTCCGCACCCTTGCCATAAACTTTTCTTTGATGAATTCAATGTATGGGATGTTTTAGTCCTGCCTTTTTAAAATATGAATGTGCTTTTAGTTTTCACTGTGTTTTAGTTCTATGTTGGCTTTAATGTATGTGCTATTTTTTTCTGGTAAGTCGCTCCGAGTTACGTTTTTTGGGGGAAAGTGGCAAATGAAGCCAATAAATAATACAACAATAATATCAGAATTTTTGCCCTATTGACACAGTAGCAACTAAGTTTATTTTTGGTTTTTTAAAAATAGATTTAGTATAATTGTGCTGTATAAGACGCACTTAAATAAGATGTGGTGTTGCTAATTTTTATGCTGTATTATTGCTTTGTTTTATTTATTTGGAAGAACTCCTCAATGTGGGATTGATTTTTTAATAACTAAATACAATCATGTCAGTGAAATATTTCTTCTTCTTTGGCGATCACTCGTAGCCGAGTAAGATTGTCTTTCATATACACGATTTTAAAAGTAAGTCCGTAAGTGACTGTGGAGGCCAATTCTGGATCCACATGTCCTTCCACAGCGGGGACATAGGTTTTCGGGCAGGAGTTGATCACAGTGAGGGTTTGCCAAGCGTGCTGTCCTCTTAGCACGTTTCTCCCTTTCATCCAAAGTCCATGACAGCTTTGGTAAAGGCTGTTCTTCAACTGGAGTGCTCGCAAGCCAGTGTTTCCCAGTTTTCACTGTTCATACTACATTTTTTAAGATTTGCCTTGAGAGAGTCTTTGAACGTCTTTTGTTGACCACCAGTATTACGCTTACCATTTTTAAGTTCAGACTAGAGTAGCTGCTTTGGAAGACGATCATCAGGCCACAGTGGTTTGGAAGTGAAATGTAGTTTGCCAAGCTAACCTTCTGGCTTTGCTGAATAATAACATGGGGTGTTTTCTCATTTCCATTAGGAAGTCAATGTCGGAAGGTGCAGAGGATAGGGGAGTCCTCACTAGAGACACAGAAACTATGACACAAAATATCATCATCTGGCTCTCAAGGCCCCTGTCAGCCTTCATTGTTTTCGCCAACATCTTCCTCATCCTTGGGATCCTCTTCAACCGTAGACTCCGCAACACCACCAACTGGTTCTTCCTGAGCCTACTCTTTGCTGATCTTCTGGCCGGCTTATTCCTTCCCAATATTCCTGAGCTGTCCTCGACGAAGGATTTAAACTACCACCTCTGCTTCTTCAACTATGTGGCACCTAACTTCATCTTCCTTGCTTTCTTAGCCAACCTGCTGGTGGTGCACTATGTTAAGTATGTGTTCATCATCCACTCACTGCATTACCACCGGTCCTGGGTGTATCGCTGGCCTGGTCTTTACATATTAGTAGCCTGGACAGCTCCTTTGATCTTTGCATGCCTCCCACTGGCTTGGAACCAGTGGCGGCCCCATGCCAACTGTTCCTTTGGTCTGGTCTTCCCTATTCCTTACCTCTATCTAGAGACCTATGGCTTCCTCATTCCATCCATCCTTGCCATGGGCTTCATGTGCATCCAGGTGCTGTGCACATCCCGAAGGCAGCTTAAGGACATCACAAGACTCCTTCATTCAGTGAACCAAGGCCAGCCCCCTTCAGAGCTGGAGCAGCAACTGGAACTGAGGAATGCTAAGAAGATCGCTAGTGTCTCCTTCATCTTCGTGGCCTGCTGGGTGCCCTATATTGTTTGCCTGAATATCTCACTGCTGTCTATAGATCAAAAAATCCACCCTCTCATTATTCCTATTGTCACCTGCATAGGCACCAGCAGCGCAGCTGCACTGCCTGTCATCCTCAGCCTTGGCAACAGACAGTACACACAATTTTGGACAGACATGGCCACCAAATGCTGTAGGGGCTGTTGTCAAAGACAGGGGCGCAAGGAAAGGAAAGCCAAAGCAAAGGCCCACTTGCCACATGGTCATCATTGCCCTGCAGAGGCAGACCTCAATGGGGCACCAGGCTGATACCTTCGGAGGTAGCAAATTGTCACTAGAAGCAAGCAAAACCACACTCTGAGTAAGATTGTATATCTAGACAGATCTTGGAAATGGGCCCTGGTCATAATCAATAAGTCACCCTGTGCTCCTGTTGCCTAGAGGAAAGAAAGTTACTTTTTTTTCTTTTTTATTAAAGATTTTCTTGATTTACAAAAGTGTGTGCAATGTCTCTCTCTCTCGTATTTTTTTCCATGTAACATTTTTACAAATCAGTTTCATTTGTTGAGACATTAGGAAGAAAAGGGGGAAAGAGGTGGAGGGGGGAGATGGGTGGGGGTGAGATGGGGTAGCAATGTTTCTATTTTACTTACTATATGGTTACTATATGTAGGGTTTGGCGTCAGCGTTGCTTGTGCAGGTTCTTTGCTGTTCATTTGTGTTCCTTTGGTGGTGAGAGAGGTTGGGGTTGGCCTAGGGTGTGGTTATTCATTTTTGGTTGGCTGTGGTGGTCTTTGTTTTCATGTGTGAATGGGGTGGGTGGGACAACCATACGAGAAATAAGTAAAATAACCAAGCAAGTATTAGAAACCACCACAAAGAATTGGCCTTACTAAACATCTTCCAAGACAACAATGCCCACTTACACCACAAAGAATTCATAACCCACTTACTTTCAGCAGCCAGAAGCATCATAGCCAGACACTGGAGAGACCTGTCAGGAGTAATCATGGACCAATGGTACCAAATAGTATGAGAAAGTTACTTTTCTATCCCTGTTTGGATTCTCTGACTGGACTGGGAATTTCCCATGAATAATAATCGTTTTTGTGTTGGTTGGTCATTCATCAAATCTGCCACCCTAATATCAGATAGATTGGCTTGTTCCCTCAAGAGTGAGTGTAGTTTCCTTACAGTATCTGTATTTGGTCTGTACCCCTTGTGAGATAGCTGCTCCCCACCCCATCCTGCCCATTGGCAGAGGAGAAAGAGGTGGGTCTGCTGTACCACTTGGAGAATAATGAAGCAAATATTTCTGTCTCACAGGTACCCACATTTATGAAGACAGTATAAGCACTAGCTTTCAAACTGCACCACACCTGGAGAACTATATTCAGTTCTTCAGTAGGATGCTTTAATAATGATGATGATGATGACAGTTGCAATTAATGAAAATTAAGGTTTTTTAACACTTCATTGCAAAGCCTTACTGAGTTCAAAATAGTTTTTTGTTATTGTGTTTTCTCAATTAACACAGCCTAAAATTACAGCAATTAGCACGTGGGGGGTATTTTTTGAGGTTGAATGGGGGTCCTGACAGTAAGAGCTGTTCGACAGTGGAATTTGCTGCCAAGGAGTGTGGTGGAGTCTCCTTCTTTGGAGGTCTTTAAGCAGAGGCTTGACAACCATATGTCAGGAGTGCTCTGATGGTGTTTCCTGCTTGGCAGGGGGTTGGACTCGATGGCCCTTGTGGTCTCTTCCAACTCTATGATTCTATGATTCTATGATTCTATGATTCTCATAGTCATAAAGGCTGGGAACCACTGGGTTATAACTTTGGGATTTTTCTACTGACTTGCCATAATTTACTTTATATGTTTTTGAATATGGGTTACCACATGAAAGGTGGCTGATTAAACTGCATTTATGCTATTTATTTTAAAATATTTTTATAATGCACTTCATTTAAAACAAAATTCCAAGGCAGTGTACAGTATTAATATAAAATCTTTTGATAAAATTACATCAAAATAAGATGCAGTATACAAATACAGTAGGCAGAGAACTAGCTACAATTGACAAAATGCCTGGTCGAATAAATGCGTTTTTAACAGATGGCAAAATCACAATACTGTAGGTGCTTGCCATATTTCAGAGAGGAGGCTTTTCCACAAAGCAGGCACCACCACAGCCAAGGCACTATGCTGGATTATCACAAGGTGGATTAATGCACGTAATGGCCCAGCCAGGAAGTCCTCCTTTGAAGATCTAATTGAATGGGCAGGTTTATTTAAAAGAAGCATTTTTTCCCAGGTTACCAGCTCTCAGTTGGTTGTAGCTTTATATGTCAACAGAGGAAAATTGACTCGGGACCAGAATGGCAGCAAGTGTGGTTACTTCAAGAGGGTGTTACATGCATGCAGCAAGAAGCTGCAGTCAGTAAGCTAACCACGGTATTCTCATATCCTCCCACATCTATCCAATGAAAATAGGGATGTCCTAAGGAAATGTGGGACATTCCAGGAGCAAATCAAAAACCAGGATGGCTTCTGTAAATCCAGGACTGTCCTTGGAAAATAGGGATGATGATGATGATGATAATTTATTATTTATACCCCATCCATCGGCTGGGTTTCCTTAGCTACTCTGAGCGGCTCCCAACAGATTAAAAACAGAATAAAACTTCAAACATTAAAAACTTCCCTAAACAAGGCTGCCTTCAGATGTCTTCTAAAAGTCAGACAGTTGTTTATTTCCTTGACATCTGATGGGAGGATGTTCCATAGGGCAGGCGCCACCACTGAAAGGCCCTCTGCCTGGTTCCCTGTAACTTCACTTCTCACAGTGAAGAAACCAGCAGAAGGCCCTTGGAGCTGGACCTCAGTGTCTGGGCTGAACGATGGGGGTGGAGACGCTCCTTCAGGTATACTGGACCGGGGCACTTCAAGGACACTTGGAGGGGCTGCATTCTGCACCAGTTGCAGTTTCCAAACCAGCTCTAGGAGCTGCCCCAAATAGAGTACATTACAGTAATCCATTCTTGAGGCTGTCAGTGCACAGATCACTGTGGCCAACCCATCCCTATCCAGGAACAGTTGTAGTTGGCATACCAGTGAAACCTGGTAAATCTGTATATATAATTAGATCACCCACCATGATACTATCCTACTTGGGCACCAACCTGGGTGTTTCGCCCACGTTGACAGAACAAATAGAGTCCGGTGGTGCCTCTTCTCTCACCACATCCCAGGGAGTTCCCCCTACCAATGTTTGCTGACCGCCAAGTGGGCTGTATCGATAGCAGCATCTGCCACTGTGTTTGCTCGAAAGAGGATTAGCTAGCCATTCCACCCTCACAGATGGGGTTTGATGGCTCATGATCATCCCCTGCTCTCCGCAATGTGATGGATGAGAGCTCGTAAATATTCCATTAGGAAGCACACTGTCCCCAGGAAAGGGGCAGCAGTCACACCCTGTGATGCAAAATGTTCAAGTTAATCTCTCACAGCTTCCTGAAACGCTCCAAGGACACGGTTGTGCCACTGAAACACAGCAGCTCATCCATCAGCCTGGGATTTCAATCAGAAGGGACTGGAGGCTGCAACACGAAAAGGGCAGCCGGTCAAGCAGATGTAACGCAAGCTACAGCGACTGCAGATATGTGTAAATTGAAGTTGCAACAGCTTTGCCTGATCACGCTGTGATAAACTGCGGCTCCCTGCAGAATGCCAGGAGCAACTGTCATCTGTATTAAATGAGAAAAGTCAGTATGGGCAGAAGGCTTGCAAGCGCTGCCTTCTCCGCAGTTTGACACAGCAGCCCAGACGCTTCCAGGAACTCTTGCTGTTTTCTCATAGGGTAAATGGCAGCGCGAGGAATTCCTCCCTGCTCTACCCAGCCCAGGTCAGAGCTCTGCTTTTCGTTGACTTAATACCAAAAAAGTTCTGCTAAGTTTCAAGTGTGAGCAGTCAGAAGAGCTGGTCAGCTGGATGCTTCTCTTCCCTGATGACTCTGTGATCTGAGGATGTAGAGAGGGCCGGAATGCTTGAAAAAGAACAGCCCCTACCCTGTGTTTATTATAATATCTGATGCTGTGCTAGCAGCAGCAGCACTTCCTGGAAGAGATCAAAGAAAGGGCAGCACAGCACAGGCCTGCCACTCATCTCTGCTGCCGCCCCCACAGTCCTCACTCTATAATACTCTGATCTCTCATTTGCAACAGGAAAAAAGTCTCTTACCTCCCCTGTACTTTAAATCAGGGATGGGGAGCCTGCAGCCTCTTCCAGATGTTGCTAGACTCCAGCTCCTTTTGTCCCTGGCCATCGGCCATGATGGCTGTGGCTGATGGGAGTTTTGAGTCTAACAACATATGAACGGTCACAGGTTTCTCAGCCCCAAGATTCAGGAAGCTTGGAAAGGGAGGCAAAACTGAGCTTTATCAGTATTAATTGCCGCCATTCAGAGATCCTGCCTGTGTGTCCCTTATGGTACTTCCGGTTTCCTTAATATTAAACTGGGTAGGAATCTTGGAACAACTTAATGATGAAAAAGTGGGGAAACTGTCAGGACACTTCCGCAGCGGCCATAGCACACTATACCATGCACAAGCTAAGCAAGCCAAGCTTGAAAATACAACCATTTCAGCAGAGAGCATCCAAAGCAGGTCACACCAAAGCAAATAGCTACGTTTTCCCATGCCCAGGAAAGAGGAGAGGAGAGGCCACCACTCAGTGGTACAGCACATGCTTCTTATTCAGAAGGCCCAGCTTCAACCCCTGCCTAGTAGAGCAGTGTTTCCCAACCTTGGGTCTCCAGCTGTTTTTGAACTACAATTCCCATCATCCCTGACCACTGGTCTTGCTAGCTAGGGATGATGGGAGTTGTAGTCCAAAAACAGCTGGAGGCCCAAGGTTGGGAAACACTGTAGTAGAGACATGGAGTTGCTGCCTATTGGAGCAAGCAATGCTAATCCCGAAGGACAAACAGGCTGATCTAGTATGAAAGAACTTCCTATGATCACTAGCCAGAAGGTCCACTAAAAGCAAAACAATCCCACCCAGATGGTGGTTGCCCCATCTTGTCACTTTACCTTACCCATGTTATATTTGACAGGTGCACACACACACACACACTCTCCAGTGATTTTGGGGCACAGCGTTGACCACTGAACTTGACAACCACTTGTAAGAGTTGTTAATAACTTAACCAACGTACGATATTTGCTAGGTTCCATGAAATGCTCTTTTCTGAGACCTCTGGTAATTTAATGTATTTCTCTGAACTTGTGGTTCCGTGGAACAGAAACCCCTCTTTCTAGCACACACTTTGTGTGCACTCTGGTCTTTCCACATTGCTGCCACTGAAAGCTGAGGTAGGAGGAGTCTTCATTCACTTTTGACTCATTTCATTATAGAAAGGCAGCCTGCTAGTTCAGGAATCCTCTGGATTCAACCATTTTACTAACTTTGATGTGGTCTTGCTAGCATCTCTGAACAACAGTGCAATCTTAACCATGTCTGCTTAGAAATAAGCCTCTGGTTCGATCATTTTGCTTGCATCTCTCAGAGCCCACACCACCATCTGGACACTGAGGGATTGGTGTATGAACTAGATAAGGTCGCACTGGCCCTCCAACGTCATTTTGTAACTATCTAAGTTCATCTCAGTTCTGGACTGCTAGATAAAGGCCAACATTTTCCCATGAGAATCGCGGTTTACATATCTAGGAAGAAAATCTGTGGCTTACATTCCCAGAAACAAATATTGCTGCATGATATTCATATACTGGGAAACAAAACCAAGCAGTTTATTTTAAGACAGACTCAGGCATTACATATTCCAGAGGAGCCTAACATGTAGTCCTGCAGATGTTGAACTACAACTCCCATCTTTCTTGACTACTGGCTGGAGCTGATAGGAGTTAGGTGGGAGCCCAACAATTTAACTGGGAACCCAATAACTCCCAACTGGAGGCCATCATATTGGAAAGACTGATATACTCAGTATCATCAGTAAAAAGTAACAGAACTGGATGTTCCATTCTTCATTAGGCACAAAATATACTTCTATGTAAGTATTTCTTCCATACAGTAATAGGCATACTCTCAGTGGTGGACCCCTGGTGACAGAAAGATGCTCAGAGGAGTGGCTAACCTGTGGCTCTGCAGAAGCTGTTGTGCTCAAGCTGCCATCAGCACCAGGCAGGAACGATGAGAACTGTAGTACAGACAAGTCCCTATTTGCACTGGAGTTGTGTTCTGGGTCAATGCACACATCAGTGGTAACATGAAAGTCCATTCCACCCCCTTCTGGTGCCAAAAGCAACAGACGTGTCAGTCGCACATCAATTGGACACACACAAAATGGTCGCCGCCTCTATGACATCTGGAGGGTCACATGCTCTAGATCTGTTACATCTTCCTGGTATTTTAATCTTGCTGTTGCACATGTGGTCTTTTCCCATGTCTCTTCTGCCATGAGAGCAACACACTCTCATCCACAACAAGAGACCCATTAAGGCTTATTAAGGATAACCAGAGAACCGGGAACATGTCGGTTCAGTTTACAAAATAGATCTATTCTGAGCCGAGCTGTCTTGCTCAAGAAAAAGTGGTGAAAAGGGGTTATCACCCTAGGTGACAAGGAATTGCATGGAGGTGAACACATGTAGAAAAACAATTGTGCTGGTGGAGTAGAGCATGTCATTTTAGGGGGTGGAATTTAATTTTTGCAAATTTCTTCAGGGGTCTTGAAAATACATTTTGGGGCGTGAGGAATTCAAATCTGCTATTATTTTTTATTGGACAACATTTAGCTTGGTAAATCTACATTTGATTAAAAAGCACATAAACTGCTCTCAGAAAAGCAAAGAATTTTAATTTTACCTTTAGAAAATGTCAGGTAATGCTAAATAATAACAACAAATATTTATATAAAACTTACAAGTACTTGGCAATCATTTCTAATGATTTCTATGCAATTTTCCACATTTTACGTATTAAGCAAAACTAAATTATATTAATTTAACCAAAATATCTTTGGAATTCCCAAGTTACGTTGCAACTTTTTAGCAAATTCCTCACTTTTGGAATTTGAAAGTTGAAAAATTCAACAATCCCTACTACTGGAGGGGGGTGGGGAGGACAGAGAACATCTTCCTGCCTCAGATCACCTTAGAAACCAAGTAGGGTGTCAGCAGAGGGAAGCCCACCCCCCTCTGCCTTGCAGTGGACCAGCTGCAATGGGAACAGGGGCCTCTTTTCTGACAGCCCCAGCTGGCTAATAAACATTTCTGCAACTTTTGTGGGCTTGTTGACAAGGCTGATTTAAGTCAAGAATATTGAGAGCTCATGGTCTGCATTCCTCAGACCAGGAGGTGCAGAACAGTAGTCACTGCGTGGATGGGTTCGTTGCTGAAGCCGGCTTGAACTTTTAAGAAAACGTACAGAGCAATGGTGTGGCTCTTCATGTTTAGTCCTAGTGCAGGACGTTGCTCCATGGAAACATAGACATTACACAAAAGCAAATGATGCTAGCCCGACTGCTGGTGGAACAAAAGTTTCTGAGGATTTGGTAAACAAAATGAACCTTGCTTTGTGAACAAGCAAATTTCAAAATTTGCCAGACAAACCAGTCATGACTAAAGGCATTGCTATACACACAAAACATATTTGCATGGAAAGAAAAGAAGTGTTGTTGGGTGGTTGCCTATGCAACAGGCTTTGCCCTCTTCACGACTGTTCTAAGAAGAAGTGCTAAAACGTGCATGCATAAAAAAATAAAAAGAACCACAGCAGGTGATGCAACCCAATTACAAAAAGTCATTTTCTATACTTTTTTCAATAGTTGACTGTTGAATTCCCATCACCACCTGTACACACATACACAGGGCAGATCCACACTATACATTTTAAAGCATATTCAACGGACATCTGAAGTATACAACTTTCCCCAAACAATCCTGGTAATTAGAGTTTCCTCCTCAAGTTCCTCCTCACAGGGACGCGGGTGGCGCTGTGGGTAAAAGCCTCAGCACCTAGGGCTTGCCGATTGAAAGGTCGGTGGTTTGAATCCCCGCAGCAGGGTGCGCTCCTGATGCTCGGTCCCAGCGCCTGCCAACCTAGCAGTTCGAAAGCACCCCCGGGTGCACGTAGATAAATAGGGACCGCTTACTGGCGGGAAAGTAAACAGCGTTTCCGTGTGTTGCGCTGGCTCGCCAGATGCAGCTTTGTCATGCTGGCCACGTGACCCGGAAGTGTCTCCGGACAGCGCTGGCCCCTGGCCTCTTGAGTGAGATGGGCGCACAACCCCAGAGTCTGTCAAGACTGGCCCGTACGGGCAGGGGTACCTTTACCTTTACCTCACAGAGCTACCATATCCAGCACCCTTAACAAACGACAGTTCCCATGGAGATCACATGCTTTGAAATCCAACCATGCCACCATTCTGCTCACAGATTAGCTTTTAATTCGGTGAAGACATCCACTGAAGTAAAGGAGAATCCATTTTCCCCCCTTCCCCCGCAAACCATTTTGGAGGGTCCCCACCACCACCACTGTAACAGGGGGGCCTTTGGGACTGCAGTGAGAAACAACCCAAAACCACATCTCCTTTTCTTAACTTATCAGATGTGCCTGATGGATCAAAAGCAGTTTCACAAGTGCAAAGGCGCAAGAGGATTTCACACCTATTTCTCAGTCCACTTCTAAACACAAGGGACACCTCCACAGCATGCAAATTAGAAACCAATTGCCTTCTACTGGTGGGACAGGCTAATCCATCTGTCCCAGGATATCCTAAATACATACTTGACACTTTGTTTTAAATACTAGCATGTCTTTCCAGCTCCAGTCACACTTTATTTAGTCAGTAGCTACAGAGACAATTCAGAGCTGGATCAATCAGCAGTCTGCTGCAGTATAAGATAGCTTTCTATATTCACCTTCTACACAGGACCCTCCAGCAGGTCCTCTGAACAAGACTTTTATGGCGACAATACACACACAAAATGAGCAGCAGCTCTGGGAAGCGGAGAACATGCTAGTGACAATCTTCCAAAGGCTCATGATTGGCGAAGACTGACTTCAAAGAAGCCCCTTGAGCTTTTAGTGGCTGTGGGGCAGGTAGTGTTAGCATAGGAAGCGAAAACTGCACCCCATGAACTTCCTCCTGCTACCATTTCTCATAAGAGACACCGCATCCCCTCTCACAAACATTTTCTGTTCCCGCCTCCCTCAGCGCAGGGCAGCACTTTCAACGACCAGCTGGCAAAAATGCAGCGTGCGATGGAGCATTCTTCTTCCCCCCTCCCCCTCTTCTGACACTGCGCTAGCCCTGGGAGAGAGGGAGCCCCCAATTCCTACCAAGGTCATCACAGCGTACGATACCTCAAAGAGTAAGATGTCTAGAACAGTTGTGCTCTATTTGCACGCATCTGGCTGATACTGGGGTCAGATCTGTTATGCAGTAGAGGTTACAGAGTAAGCCAAGGAACCACTGAGCACTTCCCAACAGAACCCCCAACTCAGCTCTCTTTGCTGAGACCAGGGAGCTGGCTGGTGGAGGAACAAGGGATGCTTCCATGTGTTCATTCATTCCCTCTTTCCAGTTTTTCAGGAACATAAGCACACATTTTTATTTTTATTTAATGACCATTGGTTTGGGAGTAGACAACAGTGAACCGACTCACTGTTTGACCATGGACAAATAGGTCCCCAAACGAAGTCCTTGCGAAAATGATAGCCTTTCTTATTTCATTTGTTCTTTTTTATTGCATCACGATGTCATCTGATATAGAAGCGGCCAGAGGGATCGTTCGAACAAATTGTGTATTTGTTGCTGGAGAGATCCACTGCCCAACTCCCAGGCTGTTTTATTCAACCAACCATAAGATGATGTTTCCAAGACAATGTGTGAGCGTCAGAACTCTGGCTAAACCCGATCCCTACCTGCCAAGCCACACAATTTGCTCACCCAAACCAAGGGCAAAGGTTTCAAACAGGGGAGGTGGGAGGACATACTTCCTTGTCATTTCAGAGGTTGCGAAGCCATCCACCTGTCCCAGCTTATGCAGAAGTGGATGGAAGCCAATGCCTTTGATTACCAGGGTTTTTGCACACTCCTTTGCAAGTTATACAAGGGGGAGCCATACCAGAAAAAATGCAGAAAAAGGCATGGCACACCTCTGCCACCACAGTCATGCAGATGATCTATCCCCCAGACCAGACACAGTGTGTTTGCACACCTTTGTGGCTCTTCAGAGTACTAGGCAGGGGGAATAATTAAAAGCTTCTCATCCAAAACTCCAAAAAATTAGCCCTCGGACAGTCGGGGGATAGGGTGGCAAAGCTTTCCCTTCCCAAAATCATTAGATGCCCTCTTAGGCGGGATGATACCCACCCTGCCCACCCCACCACAGTCCCACTGGTGTGGCCACTTGCATCCACACGGGGGCTGCTTCTTCACAGTGCCAATCACTGCTCGAGAGGAGCCCTGTTAGCGGTCAGGGCGCTGCACACAGAAGACCTTGGCCTGGTGGTCGCCAGAAGTGGTAACCACAATGGAAGCGTCTCTGCAAGAAAGAGGCGACAAGAAGAGAAGAAGGTTTACCCCCAACAACGATTACTAATCAATGTCAGTGCAAGTTTCGACGGCCCAAGCCTACCCTGGTTTTACTCAGGAGCAAGTCCTGTTCACCTCAGTGAGGCTTAATCCCCAGCAAGCAAACAAAAACCAACCAGAATCACTATTTCACTTGCCTTCACAACTCCCGGGTGGGGCAGATATCAGCAAGTCCCATTTTACATATAACAAAGGAAGGCAGGGAAAGCCAAAGTGCCCAAGGTTACCTAGGGATGAAGCCTTTTTCCAAGCCCATTCTTCTCTGTGCCAAACCACATATTTCCATTTTAGTGTACATGCACAGCTCTCTGCAAGAACCACAGGTGGAGCCCTCCCTCCAAATGAAAAGGACAACTCTGAAGGGAGCTGGGACGAAAAGAGCCTTAAGAAGACAGGATATATTTCCTTCCCCAGGAACCCTACTCACACCCACACAAAAACAAGCTACAGCTTAATGTATACTGTTCCGTATAGCCTTGCCTTCCAATGCTTGCTTTCTGTGCTTCCCTCTGTACCCCTCCACCCAGCACCCAGCACCTCCCCAAGGGTTCTTGCTCCAGGAACTCACTTGTTCAAAGCAAAGTCCAGGATTTCCGCTGAGTGGCCCCGGTACTCGCTGATCAGCTTGCCTGAGCGGGCATCCCAGAGGCACACAGCCCCACCCAGGGTGCAGGTGTAGACCACAGGGGAACTCTCTTCCCACAGGAGCTGTACAATCCCCGACTGAAAATACAGAAGGAAAGGGTCCTATTAGTCACCAGCATTCCCACCCGCTTAGCATTTTTAACCAGGCCTTTTGTTGATTTGATTGACATCCTATGCCCTTTTAAAATGTGAGGTTTTCTTTTTTTAAGGGGGGGTGTTATTGGGTTGTTGTTTTTATTTCGATTATGTATTTGGTGGTTTTGTATTTTGATTTTGTTCTGTGAACCACCCTGAGACCTCCAGGTATAGGTATATTAAGAAGAAGAAGAAAGGTCCCTCGCCCACCTAAGGTCTTCCCACCCTGAAATGTTGAATGAAACAAACTCTACTGACTACCTAAATCAGAGGTGGTTGGACGCCAAGCCTGGACTACAAACTCACTGCATGTTGCAATCAACCTGTCGCAGCACAGTAAGCTTCCCGGGAGAGAAGACCGCTCACCCAGGAGAAGAGAATGAATTAAAGGAGAGCTTAGAAAATATGACCCTTCACTTCATTATGTGCTCGCCCATAATAGGGTTTTTGGGTGCTGTTTGCATGTAGGGGATTTGGCTCAGTAAAGTTTCCTGCTGCAGCGAAGAAAGGGAGCCTGTGGCCCTCAAGATGTTGTTGGACCCATCATCCCCGACCTCTGGTGATGTTGCCTGGGGATGATGGGAGTTGCGGTCCCAACAACATGTGCAGGGCCACTTCTACCCGAGGCACTAGGGACCTGTCTGAAGCTCCTGTCAGCAGCAGGGCTGCAAGGCAGAGGCCAGGACCCAGGACTTCTGTGAACAGCTGCACTTGGCTATTGCTGCATTCCTCCTGGATTGAACTGCTTCCTCCTGCCAACAGCAGCTCTTCCCAAAGCCCCCAGCAATTCCCAGAAGGGTCTTCTCCACTACCTCATGCTGGCAGTTGTGTCTCAGGGTCTGTGTGGCGACGTCATAAATGGCCAAGGTCCCGTCTAAGTAGCCAACAGCAGCCAGCGGCATCCTGCATGACAACAAAGCCAGAGAAAGAGGAGCTTTTAATGGGAGGCTTTTGAGTGCAACTTTTTTGTGGAAAAGTAGGCAATGCGCTTTAATAAATAAATAAATAAGCCCATGCAACAATGTGATCTCCTCCCAGGGGAGTCCAAACCTCCCTGCAGGAAGGGCAGTCATTCAGGAGTCACCAGGCTGGCTCTTGTTCCTTCAGAAAAGGAGCAATGTAGGAGCTGCCTGTGAAGGCAGAGTCTTCTTGAAATTTCCCCTTAAATGGGTTCCACAAAATAGCACTTGACTTTGGCAGAAATGCTCACAAATATTCTCAAGAATTGAGTGTATCCTGTAATTGTAGTGCATGAGGGTAGAAACTGATCCTGAGCAGCCTCCCTATGAACCCCGTTTAATTTTTTAAAACAAATCTCCTTTATTTTTTTCAGTCCTACTGGCAGAGGATAGCCTTGAAAGCATGTGGGCAATGCCTGGTGAAATCTCAGAAGCCAGCAGGCTTGCAAAGACTCAACCATTCCAACTACCCTGGGCAGGCCTTTGCCCTCTTGGGAAGATGCTGTTTAATTGTTGAAAGCAGTCCCAAAGGATGCGTATGCATTCAAAGGGTCGATGTAGAAAATGCCATGTAAAATAAACAATTTAGATTTCATGATGCAGTGTTATCTAGCCCATATTGATCTTATACTAGCTCAGACTTTGCCAACCTGGTGCCCTCCAGGTTCTTTGAACTGCAACTCCCATAAGCCTCAACAAGCACTATCATAGTGGTTGGGCTGATTATAATAGTCCATAACATCTGTAGGGCACTGAGTTAGCAAAGGCTGCTCTACATTATGTTGCAGGCAGTTGTCCCCTTCCATTCTGTTCATGCAAACCAGGGATGGGGAACTTGTGGTCCTCAAAACATTGTTGGACTACAACACTTATCACTCCTGACCACTGGCCGGGACTTGTGGGAACAAAATCCAGCAGGGTTGCAGGTTCCCCATCACTGATGGAAACATTTCACTTATTTCAGCAATTAGTTCCGGGCAGTTCCACAACCCAGAAGGCAATACTCACACATTGCAGAAGCCCAGAGATTCAACTGAGTTGGATTCAGCCTCCTCAGCAGAAGACTTGGGGACAATGGCCTCCTCCTTGAAAACAGACACAACCTGCAGGAAAGAAACAGCCAATGATAAGATAATGAGGGGTGGCCAGCTCCCGAGGGACTGCGATCTACTTTCAGAATTAAAATCTGACAGTGATCTACCCCCCCTTCTTAGGGGTTCAGGTAAAAGTTGTTGTTGACCTAATTTAGAGGTGGGAAATACCCCATTTTATACCCATTTTGTTGGGGTTCCATTTGGGGGGGGACTTTTAAGGGGAAGCAAAACAAAACAAAATTTTTGAAAATCAATTATTTTTATCCACCCTGGTGTAAAATCTGGACTAGGAGCAGGGAGACCCAGGTCACTTTCCACCCAACCTACTTCGCAGGGTTGTTGTGACGGTGAAAAAAGGAAGAGGACAGAACTCCTGAGCTCCTTGGAAGAAGGGTGGAGTAAAAATGCAACTTCTATCCAAATGGGCAATACAAGATTGTGCTGCAACAAACACAGTTTCTCACTCTCTCACTCTGTGGGCTAAGGAAGTTCCCATGTATATTCATTCCAGCATGGAGGGGAAGAAGGCACCCACCTTGCCTGTTGCAGAGCTCACTAGCTTGGCATGGCAGTCAACAGAGCCTGTCAGGACTAGGCTGCCATCCTTATTGCTGGCCACGCACGTCAATGGGCCCTGGTGCCCATCCTGACCTAGAAATGGTGAGAGAGCAAAGATCACACATCAAAGGGTGCCTAGGCGTGTGCTAAGACCTTCCACCTCCTTCTTTGCCCTAAATAGTTGCTTGTGTCTTGGCTCACCATTTTTATTTTTGGATTTGCCAACTCTGAAGCACATTACAGCCACAAGAGAAAATAACAAAAAGGCTATGACTTCATATAAGAACATGAAAACCATGAGACAGGCTTGTGGCCTTTGCCTTGACTCATAAAAACACCCTGTTATCTGCGAGCAGAAGTGGCTCAGTGGCCCTTGGGTGATGCAATTTCACAAGAAAGGTTGACCAACACACCTCTCTCCTCTGCCCCAACCCAGTGACTGACGAAGGTCTGCTGATACTTTTCAAAGCAATCCATCTCAGTCTTTGTTGTAGTTTTACTGATTCTCATAGAAAGGCAAGTGGATTCCTGCTGGATCAGACCAAAGGCCTCCAACATCCCGTTTCCACAGTGACCAACCTGATGCCTCTGGGAAGCCCACAAGGAGGCAGGAAAAAGCAGGCATAATCACAGGAACCCCCCCCCCAAATGACCTTTGTCCTGGTTAAGCTCACAAGGACAACACAACGGCCTCTCCCAATACTATTCCCCAGTAACTGGTGTTCAGAGGCATACTGCATCCAATGCATGTGGCAATCGTGACTAAGAGCTATAGCCCTATCCTCCATGTATTCGTCTTATTCCCGTTCAAAGGCAACTAAGTCGGCGACCATCACTACATCCCCCAAGCAGAGGATGCCAATATGCCAAGGTACAATGAGAGGAAATCCGGCAGAGGCTGCACAATGAAAGCAGGGTTTTATTGCTTTTGTTTAGGCCTTGGGATTCCATGTTTCTTGAAAGCCATCCATATTCCTCCTCCTCCTCGGGTTCTTTCCTGCCTTTACAGTTCCCGTGCAAAGCTAGTACTCTGAAAGAGGTTTCTGAGCAACACCTCCCCGCGCTCCAGCTTCCTGACAGCAAATAAATGGAAACAGGCAACCGAACAGAACCTTTGGTACCTTTGAGGACGTGCAGCGAGCTGCCATGCTTCAGATCCCAGATGCGCATGGTCCCATCTTCGTAACCGACCACAGCTCTCCTCCCTGCATTGAGCGTCTTTGTGTTAGTCACTCTGTCATATTCAGGGAGATCCCAAGGAAGCCCAAGAGTCAACCCCAACTGTAACACGATCCCTTGCTATTACAGCCTTCCCCTCCAAATGTTTTAGACTACAGCTTCTTTCCTTGCTGGCCATAGGCCATGCTGGTTGAGGTTCAAAATTTATGGAGGTCACTAGGAAGGCTGCCTCTGTGCATAAAGGAACAGAGGGTGTGCTTGGAAGAGGCAAATGTCACAGCAGCTACAGTCACACATGACACTAAGCTATGGTTTGTTTTAACCATTCCACCCCCACTCTCAAAAAAACCCAGGAGTTGCCTTCTAATCCAGCAAACAAGCCATAGCTTGTTCCTCCAAAGCTTGGTTTGTTTTCCATCTAGCCTTGCCATCTGCCTCTGTAACTTGGCCAGTATCTGGGATGGAGTGGCTGAAAAACTGATTAAGCAATGCTGCTGTGTTCAGGCATAACACAAAATCATAGTTAAAATGGCCAGGAGTCGTAAGTTGCCAAAACACAAACCATGGTTGCTCTGTTGGCTGGGTTCAAAGATTCAACCAACCAATAAGCCAGTGTGGTGTAGGGATTAGTGTTGGACTAGGACCCGAGAGACCAGAGTTTACATCTCCTACTGAGCCTTGAAGCTCACTGGGTGACACTGGGCCAGTCACTGTCTCTTAGCCTAACCTACCTCACAGGGTTGTGTGGATTAAATGAAGAAGGGGAGAACTGTGTAGACCACCTTGAGCTCCTTGGAGGAAAGGTGGGGTATAAATATAACAAACCAACCAACCAACCAACCAACCAACCATGCTTTAGCATCATGGGTGAACCAAGCTGATGTATTCTGCCATTGGACAGTGCCACGCCTATAAAAATTCTGCAAGCTCATCCCCACACCCCAAGCCCTGCTCCTCACCATCAGGAAGGACATGACCACAGGTAGCTGGACAGGACGGGCCTTGGAAGGTCTTGCACTCTCCACTAGGGATCTTCCACATCCAGGAGTTGCCGTCAGCAGTGCCAGCCAGAAGGACATGGGACTGAGGGTGCCACTCCATCCACTGGGGTCAAGAAGAGAAAGAGAAAGCAATAGGCTGGGAGCTAAGCAATACCAGAAAGGAGCCTGCTGCTTTGCACATGACCAACAAATCCTTTCTCACTGTGCAAAAGTTATCCAACAGCCAACTCTTAAATACGTACCCCAAAAGTTTAATGTATAGAAGAAGAGTTGAGTTTGGAATTGATATCCCGCCTTTCACTCCCTTTAAGGAGTCTCAAAGCGGCTGACATTCTCCTTTCCCTTCCTCCCCCACAACAAACACTCTGTGAGGTGAGTGGGGCTGAGAGACTTCAAAGAAGTGTGACTGGCCCAAGGTCACCCAGCAGCTGCATGTGGAGGAGCGGAGACGCGGAACCGGTTCCCCAGATTACGAGTCTACCGCTCTTAACCACTCTTAACCACTCCACCACACTGGCTCTCCTAGTTAAAATAGCTTCCCATATGCTCTTCTCAGTATTCCGTGCAACCACACTTTAAGAGAGGTCCCCATACAATGCCAACAGGGGAGATGGAGAAGGGGCCAAGGCTGAGATGGGAGCTTGCCTAACATTACCTAGCAAATCTGCAGCCGAGGTGAGATTTCAGCTGGAGACTTCCAGCCTCCTAGCTCCCACTCTTTAGCCACCACATCACACTATCTCACCAGTACGCCTTACTTACGACTGCAACCTAACATACTGGTTGTGCAATTGGCACGCTATGACGTTGCCATGTGGTTTTGTGAGCCTTTGTATGACTACGGCAGAGTGGCAAGGAACACGGAATGAGCAAAACTGAAAGCCTTGTTGTAGCAATCGTAACACTGTAGCTTGCACAGAAAACATCAGTTTGTTCCATATTACATTGTTGCACCCAACCAAATTAGAAACTGTTCCAAATGGAATATTCCAAATGTCAGGCCTGTAAAGCACTGCATTTCTGTCAGAGGAAATAATTTATCTGAATTATCTCTCAGTTTTCTCCCTAGAATCAAGACAGTGGACATGCTTTCCACTGGGAAATCTCATGGTGAAACTTTTGCCCTGGAATTTATAGGCCCCATTTCTCACCTCCAAGTCGCCCGCTTCGAAAGACCAGATCTCCTCTTTGGCATCCACCCGCCAAACTTTTATCAGTCCACTCATGTCACCCGTGGCCACGAATGTGGAATCATGGCTGAAACCAGCACAAGTGACGGAATCTTTGTGTCCTGGCGATAATGAAAAGAACAAGAACATGCATATTCTGAAATCACCCCAGCCACCATTGCTAATGGTCAACAATGATGAGTGTTGTAGTCCAACAATATTCAAAGCCCACAGCCCTGTTGGAATTATTATTTCTTCAGTAGATCAGGGCCATTATAGAGTATACCCTTAATGTGGAGTTATCCACATAATGGCAATCTGCAGGCAGTCCTTTCAATGCCAGAAGTAAAAGGAGGGGATATTCAATGACCTCAAAAATACAGATGTTTTCCATTTGCTACACCTTCCTATCCAAATCACCAGCTGAAGAGTTTCCTATATATAGATTTTTAGATATGGATCACTTTATCCCCAGGGCTATCCAAGATAGAGGGAAGTAGTTGTTGTTAAAACTGTTTTATGCTGACCCCAGCAACACAAAGCAATTCAAATATTGGCATTGGAGTTGCAAGGTATTACCCAGAAGAGCCTCACCTGAGCATTCAAAGAGGAGCTCACCATCACTGAGGCGCCACACAAAAGCCTTGTCATCTTCACCGCCTGTCACTGCCAGCGTGTTGGTCTTGGGGTCAAGACTGACGCAGAAAACAGATGCTAGGGGGAACAAACAGAACTATGTTAGTGACAGAAGCCAGACATACCTCTCTCACACACTCACAGTCCTATTGTGGGCATCCAAACAAGAGGAACCAAAAGGATCAGAGATGCAAAACCTGCCACCCTCCAAATGTCATCATTGACCATGCTGGCTGGGAGCTGATGGAAGCTGGGAATCCAACAATATCTGGAGGGACACAAGTTCCCCATCCTTGACTGGGGCATAACTGTGTTGCTCTCTCCCAGCAAAATGTTAAGGAAAGAAGAGCGAAAGTGAAGCACACTCTCAGCTGAAACAGCACCATCCTGTAGCCACAACAGCGCAGCGCTATAGAGAATGCACAGGTGCTTCCCCTCCATTCCTTGCTCAAGGGCACCTGGCCCTTTTAAGGTAAAAGAAAAACATGGAAGAGCACCATCTTGGAAAATACCAGCAGAGATGATTCACATCACCAACCCTGGCTTTAAATTAGCAGGGCTGGGACTTAAAGTAGAAAGCAGGCTCACCGGTTAGTGTGACCTTGCGTCAGCAACCCACCAATGGAATACCGTGCTAGCCACTGACAAAGAGCTGGTTAAATCCTTTATCAACCAGGTTTCTTTTGCAAATAATAATAAAGTAGTCTTGCCGGGCCACAAATTAGGCACAGAATAGGGAGGCCCAAACCTGGGACACTAGATAATGAATGAGATGCCTACTCTCATTCCTCTACCAGCTCACCCGTGTGTTTGGAGAACGTGACCTCACTGTCATCTTGGGCCTCCATGCCTTCCTCTGCCTCAACATCCTCCCAAGCAGCCTCCTCTTCATCTAAATCCACATCTTCCATTTCATCAGCCAGATCATCTGCAGAAGCAAACAAAGCAATGCTATTTTACAAAGCCAGTCAGCATGAAGGTTCCCCCCTCCAACCCAGCATAATAAGTAAAAGCAGGTGTGCTAAACTGCGGCATCTCTGTGTGCGCTCACCGTCCTGTTTAGAGGAGAAGAATGAACCTTACGTGGTAAACTGCCATCATCAGTTCACAGCTAAGTGCCGGTAAGTCATAGTCACAAAGGATTCAGACAAGTTGTAGAAATCACCAACCCTAATCTCCTGAGCCCCTTCCACTCCATGTGGTCTGAAATGCTGCTGTCACTAGAACCTGAGCCCCTCAATTATAGTCCTATGTCAAATTATAGATTGTAATGCACAATACCTACATGAGACATCGGTTTTGATAATTATGGACCCCATCCTCCCTCCCTCTCCTCTGTTCTTTTATTCATTGCCTCCAAACAGCTCCCCTTCTCCCATTCCCCCTGTGATTGCTACTCCATCACCTGCTTTGTACCTATACCTTTTTTTAAACCAAGGCAGCAATCCTATGGCAAAATCCACCAGGATTAGCAACATAGGAAGCAGTGGGTCACCTTAAAGCCAACCCTAGTTCAGCCAAAGATAAGCCAGTGTACCTTGCTCATTCTGGCTCAGTCACGAGAGCTAAGGCCAATATAAGTCCCTCAAAAGGTGAGATGAGGGGGCAGAATTTGGACTGCACCCTAAGCCCATTCAGCTCAGTCGTGTGACCTAGCAACCCAGCATAAAACACTACTTTAAATGCTTGTTTTCCCTCTACCAAGCTTAGGCAGAAAGCAGCCCCCCAATGCCCCATGGTGTTTGGACCTAGTGTAACTTTACGCTGGCTTAATTTACATCAGCTTACCTTATGGCAGCTTCTTGCACACAGAATTGTTCCCAAAGCCAAATAGCATGCAATTGAAATAATCACATATATTTCCCATGACTCCATTTCCCCCTTTCCCTGTTGTTTCACTGCATCCATTCTAGATTGTAAGCCTCTTGGGGTAGGGACCTGTCTTTGTAATATTCTTGAGCTAGAGCACCTCCAAGTGGCCAGCTCTAAATCCATCCTATCTCTGGGTGTATAAATAACAAAGATGTTGGTGAACACCAGAATATCAGTAAATGTATGTGCAACTGTGACCAAAAGATTGTTCAAAGTGTGTTATACTGTTTCCTGTATAATTCCCCTAGGGATGGGTTGTGAAAATGATCCAAGGGCCAGTTTCCTCTCTTTTTTTAACATTAGGGAGAAAGCGTGCTATTTACTGCTTGATAGGCATAAATATAGTATATGACATATAAGGTTTCTAGGGTTGCTAGACACCCAACGGATGAACCAATGATTTATTGCACAAAACGCGATCCAACTTGCTAGGGGGTCATTTATGTTAAAATGTTTCACTCAGCTAGGCTGTAGTTTAGCGATGACCAAAGTCTCCTAACAAATAAATCTGACAGACTGAGTGGCGATAATGAGGATGGGGGTGATGACACCTAACCGGTCAGCCCTCTTACTACTTTTCAGGGTGGTCACGTTTTCCGTTGCAAAAGTCCCTGGAAAAGGACCTCGATCCCAAGTCCCCGTCCCAGCCGCCCAGTCCCTCGCCTCTTTACCGGGTCCAGGCGCCTCAAGGTCACCACCTCCACGATCTCCTCCGCGGCCCCCTCCTCATCGCCGGCTGCCATCAGCAAGAGCCCCTCCGAGGCCGCCTCCAAACCTGCCCCGTCTGCGGGTTCCGCCATGCTGACGACTTCAGCCTACCAGCAACCCGCACGCGCCTACGCCGATCTCCTTCTCCTCCCTCTCTCCCTCCCGTCGAGGAGGGCGGGGTCAACGTCTCCGCCACCAATCAGCGAAGCGAATAGGAACGGGCTAGCGAATCGGAGGGGAGGTCATCAGCGCGGACTCCCTCATTCGCCAGCTCCGCGTTCCGAGCCAGAGGGCCGCCTTCTCCTCCTCCCCGACGGGAGCGCCTTCGTTGCCCATGTGACCTCTCGCCGTCGCGAAAGGGAGTCATGGGAGTTGTAGTGCCCGGTTCGCTTCCTTCTCCTCGACCTTGCTAGTACCTGGCGCACAACGGGAGGAAGCGGGAGAGAACTTTTCCCCGAGATGGCGGCCGCTTGCAGGGTTCGAATGCAGGGTAGGGAGGGGAGGCGCGGCTGCCCGTGCAATGCGACCTTGGGGGGGGGGGGAGGAAGCGGGGTCCGGCATCGGGGAGAAAACAGCCAGAGGGTCGGCTGGTGAATTAGGCGGAGGAGGAGGAGGAGCTGCTGCTGCTGGGGCTGGTTAGGAGAGGAAGAGGTGTCGCCTAGGCTAGAGCTCTGTGGCTGTGCTGAGATTCCCAGCCATGGCCCTGGATAAATCTAGATGAAATGTTTAAAAGTACAATTTCACTATAGTGTGTCTCCTTTGCAGGCCTCTTTTCTGCCACTGTGAACCGAGCTGTAGGCTTAGGTGTGCCTTTCAGAACTCCTACCCGATCCTTCCACAGGAGCTGCAGGGCTTTGGAAGAATTACAGACAAAATCACAGTCTGGTGGAAAGACCTATGAACATGTGGAATATATTCCCACAGGGAGGAAGGGCAAGAACCCCATGAAGGCAGTTGGCATTGCTTGGTGAGCATCATTTCATCAGTTTGTTTTATGATAGGTTAGCTGTTAATCTTGCAGCCTACAATGCCAGGCAACTCAGTTTGATGCAAACACCAAGGAACCCTTGAATATATGGGCTGAGTATGGGAGTGGAAGGATATCAGACTGTGGTGTGAGACTGAACAGCCCCAAGCAAAATCTTCCTGGGAACAAGTTGTGGCTTATGTATTCTTTGCCTCTCTCCAGGGCCATTGGTTTCCCTTCTGGCATCATCCTTTTCCTCCTCACTAAGCGAGAAGTGGACAAGAACCGTCTGAAGCAGCTGAAAGTCCGCCAGAAGATGAGGGCATCCAATGAGGGAGAGTATGAAAGAGAGCGATACAGGACAGCATTGCGAGAAACAGAGGGACTTGCTCAAACGAAGTCCTAGCCCTGGGATGAAAGTGGCTAGAACTCTCAGTCGTTGCCATTTTTAAGATGCTCTATCTCTGTACCAGAGTACTTTGCAGTGTATTGGGAGTACCTTGCAGGTATTGGCTTCTGCTGCCAGCAATTATCCCGGTGCATTCTCTGAATCTGCGTGAGGCACCATACAGCGCTGTATGAAATATGGTCAGCTGACTTCTCAAGATGCCTTTTGTGGGGTTAAGCAGAGGTTATCGATAAATTCCCTACCATCATCAACATTAGATGTGTCCTAGGAAAACAGCACTGCAGTCTGGCTTGGCATCATGTTGTAGGTATCTTTGGTTAAAAGATGTTCTTCTTTTGGGTCTGAGTAATATTTAGGGGTGGGGTGGAATTATAAGCGCAGGGACAGTAGTTATGTAAGGAATGTTTGGCAGCGAGGACCCATTAAGCCCATCTTCTTGTACTTTCTAGATCAGCAGCATATTTAGGAATAAAACTGTGTTCTCATCACATTTTTTACAAAAAAAATTGGCCAGAGGGGAGACCAGGTCTCACCATTCACACCTTGCCAGATTGGCATAAAAATGACCCATTAAATAATTGAAATTGAAAGTGTGAAGTCTGATTCATTGCAGATGCTTATGGAGAATCCAAGCAGGTTTATTTTCTTCTATAGTTTTGAGCATGTGGTGAACTGACTGGCTATAATCCAACAATCTGTCATGGATGCTTTAGCTCAGATTCCTGCATTGCAGGGGGTTGGACTAAATGACCCTTGGGGTCCCTTCCAACTCTAAGATTCTATGATTCTAACAGAATTAGACATGTTAAACCCAGTGCTTGTGTGAATAGCACAATATTTGATTTCCTAAACACTGGCGGTATCATTACAAGGTCCTTTCTAGCGTATTAAATCATGTGTAATATTATAGATTGTTACAGTGAGCAATTGCTGTTTGTCACCATTTTTGATAGTCAAATATATTGTTCCCATGTCTCTTCCACACAGAGTGCCTTCTGCCGTCCTGCACACCTATAAAACTGTGTTGTTAGTTCCACTGTAATGTAACAGTTGGCACAAACACCACTCTCAGATTTCAATAACTTCCCTAATGACTAGGATTGTGTAGCAACACATCAAGCTGCGAGATGAAGTAAACGGAACAGCTGTTTCTAGTCAGTTCCATAAACCATTAATTGTCCAGACACTGCATTTATGGTATTATTAAATTACATAGATTAAAAGTATAATTTTTCAGGGTTCTTCCCCCACCCCATACATGGGTTTTAGAGCAGGTGTTTTAAATTCTCATAATTAATAGTTGGGTGCGTTTCATTTTTTAAAAAGGAGGCGTTTGTATTTTTTGTATCTCATGCCAATTTGAGGGTGGGTCAAGTAAGATAGGGGGCTAACAATCCTGCAGAGGTCATCCTTAATCATTCTTGCTCTCTACAGGGGAGGCATTTGTTCTATGAGAAATAAAAGGGACTATGTGGTCTTGTTCTTGACAAAGAATCCATCTCGTTCACATACTGAAGGCTGTGTTCAGAGACGTATATATATGTAATGCAATAACTTTTATGAAGGATTATTTATTAACAACAGCAGTCATAAAGAAGAAACATGAAACACACAGAAAAAATGAGATACACAGGTTAAATTGCCGTGTTGGCACTTTACGATAAATAAGTGGGTTTTGGGTTGCAGTTTGGGCACTCGGTCTCTAAAAGGTTCGCCATCACTGGCCTACTATGTCACACAGTGCTATATTAAGAAAGTTGCCGTAATCTCTAATATGTAACAAGAATGGACAGTTGGCTTATTTTAAATATATATATTTGCAATTATAGCTAAGAGAGCGGAACTTCACTGCAAGGTCTATATTTCTTGCCTGCATATGTTGCAGAAAAATGTAAAAATTACAGGCTCCAATCCAGGAAATCAATTTGTGCCCAGACACTGAAACCAGAAGGGTTTAAATCAATTGCGACTATTAACACATCTCATGGATTTCAACAGGACCTAAGCGCAACTAACTCTGCAATTGAGCATTTCCATGCAGTCAAATTTCATGCAAAATTTTAATGGCCACACAAAAATGCCTTAGTGGCGGAGTGGTTATGCATCAGCTTTGTGTACCATCAGTATAGGATCTTTGCAAACAACAGACTCGTGTGCTGGTGAAGAGGGAAAAGCTGAAGAACCTTTTTGCCCAAATGCTGAGACAAAGTCCTGGCCCTAAGTACAGGTCCCACAGTCTCTAATTCCTGCCCACAAGCCGTGTGAAGGAGAGGAAGATGTAGATGACATCTATGTAGATCTGGATGGCTCCATAAATGTAATCCTCGGGACTGATGGCGTATTTCCTGTTCCCCAGCAGCAGCTGAGTATCGTAAGCAAGGAACTGTAAGGAAGCACAAAGCAGCATTTAGCCACATCATTCAATAAACAGTCTATCTTTAAAGCTTCCTTCTTTCCCCATCAACAGCCTTTGATTCCCACCTCAACCATTGGGTAAGGTTGATTTGATTTCCTGCTCCCCACCTGTTCCTGATGTAACTCTCCACTCACTGCTACTTCCCTGGCTAGGGAACCATTTTGTGGTTTGCCTCAGGCACCAAAATGCATTGGGCTGGGGCTGCCATGGTCCCTCTGATTTCCCCCTCCCCACACCAGCTATTGATTAAAGTGTGGGGGGCAGCTATGTGGGACCAAACTAAATGAAAAATGCTGCATTTAGTTTGGTCCAGAGTTTCCCACTTAGTCATTTGTAAACTTTTTTTAAGCCTATTGCAATGCAGCAAGGTCCTGTCCGTACACCCTTTAAAGCCCATGTCTTCAGCAGCTGCATGGGCTGGGTGTTGGGAGCACCTTCACCAACCCTCTGATCGCAGGAACAGCAGAGCACAGCATTCCTCCGAAACAGATCCTGGTGCAGTGGACTCACATTTGCTATTGTGAGCACCTCAAATGCAGCAGAGTAATGGAAGCGAAACAGTGGAGGTTTTGTTGCATACCTAACTTTGTTACTACTGGTTAAACAAAACAAAAGAACATAACGGACATGCACGAGAGAGTCAGCTCTCTCATACTGCCACCTAGTCTTTAGACAGATCAAAGAAAAACCAGTACAGTGCTGGGGACGGAAGTCTGGAAGAGTGGTTTCCGCCCCCTCCTTCCTCTGAGACAGAAAGTAAAACAAACATGATCTGGTGATCTTTGCAATGGGAGGGATGAAAATACTGACAGGCCCAAACCAATTCAAAGTAATTTGCAGCTGCAGTTAAGCATTCCTGATTCGTTGGTGTCTGCAAACATAGTGAAAACTACAATGCCAAGGATCTTAATATTCCAGCATCTTCCCACAAAATTGGTACCCACCTCCTCAACGAGGAGGATTTAGCTATTTGGATTTAGCTATTTAGCTACATCTATTTGCTATGAAGCTACATTGCATACAGTAGTACTGTCAGCCGTACTTGTCTTTTGGCTGAGGAGCAAGGTAGAAACGTAAGCAATAAAGTTTGCTAGAAATCTAAAGATGCTAGACAAAATCCACTCTCCAAAGCCTTTCCTTGTTTTTGTGCCCCTCTAGCTTCATTTAAACAACCTTGATGGCAGAAAGTGAGGAGGAATTAAAGAACCTTTTAATGAGGGTGAAAGAGGAGAGCGCAAAATATGGTCTGAAGCTCAACATCAAAAAAAACGAAGATCATGGCCACTGGTCCCATCACCTCCTGGCAAATAGAAGGGGAAGAAATGGAGGCAGTGAGAGATTTTATTTTCTTGGGCTCCATGATCACTGCAGATGGTGACAGCAGTCACGAAATTAAAAGACGCCTGCTCCTTGGGAGAAAGGCGATGGCAAATCTAGACAACATCTTAAAAAGTAGAGACATCACCTTACCAACAAAGGTCCGTATAGTTAAAGCCATGGTTTTCCCAGTAGTGATGTATGGAAGTGAGAGCTGGACCATAAAGAAGGCTGATCGCCGAAGAATTGATGCTTTTGAATTATGGTGCTGGAGGAGACTCTTGAGAGTCCCATGGACTGCAAGAAGATCAAACGCATCCATTCTTAAGGAAATCAGACCTGAGTGCTCACTGGAAGGACAGATCGTGAAGTTGAGGCTCCAATACTTTGGCCACCTCATGAGAAGAGAAGACTCCCTGGAAAAGACCCTGATGTTGGGAAAGATGGAGGGCACAAGGAGAAGGGGACGACAGAGGATGAGATGGTTGGATAGTGTTCTCGAAGCTACAAACATGAGCCTGACCAAACTGCGGGAGGCGGTGGAAGACAGGAGTGCCTGGCGTGCTCTGGTCCATGGGGTCACGAAGAGCCGGACACGACTAAACGACTAAACAACAACAAGCTTCATTTAACGTCCCTTGAGGGACAGCCAAATTTAAATAACAATTTGACACATAGCTGTGAGGCATTTGCGAGCTTTTTTGCGGAGAAGGTCTTGTTGCTCCGCCATGACCTCCCTGCCAATTTGGATACAATAAAGGAACTGGAGGCCCCTCGACTGTCCTCGGGTCCAGTATTGGACCACTTCAACCGGATATCCCCAGCCGATGTGGACAGACTCCTCCGAGCTGGAAAGCCCACCACTTGTCCTCTTGACCCGTGCCCGTCTTGGCTGATTAGAGCGTGTCCAGACGAGGTGCGGGCCCTCCTGGGGGATATCATCAATTTGTCCCTTGGCACGGGGACATTCCCAGGGGAACTGAAGGAGGCAGTGGTGCGCCCGCTCTTAAAGAAAACATCATTAGATCCTTTAGATCTATCCAATTACCGCCCGGTTTCGAATCTTCCGTTCCTGGGTAAGGTGATTGAGAGAGCGGTTGCTGAACAGCTTGGTGGGTTTCTGGATGAAACATCGGCTCTGGATCCATTCCAGTCCGGCTTCCGCGCTGGTCATGGGACCGAGACGGCTCTGGTTGCCCTAACAGATGATCTTCGTAGACAGCTGGATCAAGGCGGGTCGGGGCTGCTGATTCTTCTAGATCTGTCAGCAGCTTTCGACATGGTCGATCATGAACTTCTGGACCACCGCCTTGCCGACGTGGGGATCCAGGGCACAGTCCTTCAATGGCTGCGCTCGTTTCTCTCTGGTCGGGGACAGAGGGTGGCGCTTGGGGGGGAATTGTCATCGCGCCACTCCTTGGTATGTGGAGTACCTCAGGGTGCGATACTCTCCCCGATGCTTTTCAACATCTTTATGCGCCCTCTCGCCCAGCTTGTTCGGAGTTTTGGGCTGGGTTGCCATCAGTATGCTGATGACACCCAACTCTATCTGTTGATGGATGGCCATCCTGACTCGGCCCCAGACACACTGACCAGATGTTTGGAAGCTGTGGCTGGATGGTTACGTGGGAGCCGGTTGAAGCTAAATCCTTCGAAGACAGAGGTCCTGTGGCTGGGACGGGGCGATATGGGATTGGGGGGGGCAACTCCCATCTCTTGCGGGGGTGCAATTAGTGCCAGCACCGTCCGTTAAGAGTTTGGGTGTAATCTTCGACACCTCCCTTTCCATGGAGGCGCAGATTGCAGCTATAACAAAGGCGGCATTTTTCCATCTCCGCCAAGCTAAGCAGTTGGCTCCTTACCTCTCTCGCCCTGACCTAGCCACTGTGATCCACGCGACGGTCACCTCCAGACTGGATTATTGTAACTCGCTCTACGTGGGGCTGCCCTTGAGACTGACCCAGAAACTCCAGCGGGTGCAGAATGCTGCAGAGAGACTCCTTACAAGGTCTTTGCTGCGAGATCACATTCACCCGGTGCTATACCAGCTGCACTGGCTCCCGGTGGAGTACAGGATCAGGTTTAAGGTGCTGGTTTAACCTTTAAAGCCCTATACGGCTTAGGACCCTCGTACCTACGGGACCGCCTCTCCTGGTATGCCCCACAGAGAAACTTACGGTCTTCAAATAAAAACATCTTGAAGGTCCCAGGCCACAGAGAAGTTAGGCTGGCCTCAACGAGAGCCAGGGCCTTTTCGGCTGTGGCTCCGATCTGGTGGAACACTCTGTCACAAGAGACCAGGGCCCTGCGGGACTTGACATCTTTCCGCAGGGCCTGCAAGACAGAGTTGTTCCACCAGGCCTTTGGCAAGGGCACAGCCTGACTCCCTCCTTCGGCAATCTTCGCAGAGCTCTGGCCCAATGGCTGCCAGTGGCTTGAATTAATTAATTTTAGAATGAATGATTTTAGAGTGTTGTTTATGTTGTACTTTTGTACTGTTTTATTGTTGTTAGCCGCCCTGAGCCCGGCTAAGGCTGGGGAGGGCGGGATATAAATAAAATTTATTATTATTATTATTATTATTTGCCTGTTACGCTGCTAGTCTGGGACAGCCAGAAGATTCTTGCAGGGTCTCCACCTCAAAGAGGTGGTGGCGAAACAGGAAACTCTTGAGTTGTTGCCTATCAGAATTAACACAGCACACCCAGAATATTCAAAATGCTGCATGTATATTGTCTCAGGAAAAGGGGTACCTCTATTCATGCAATCAACAGTAAATCTCTACTAACCAGGGTGAAGACCACAGCAGAAATGGCCGCATAAAGCAGGTCGAGCCAGTACATCTGCAAGAAGAGAAAAAGAGCGTCAACTAATGAGTTTCTACATCTCTGCATGAAAAAGGTTAAGTAGTCACCTAGCGAGAGACCTGCCGATATGTATTTATTTATTTATGTTTATGAGTCGCTGTTTCTCAAAATGATCCAAGGTGGCTTAACAGAAATAGATGATCATTTTAAAAACAAAAATATTCCCATGGAGAACATATTGTGTACTGAAGGGATGCTTACGGCAGCAGGCCTAGGGAATAAAGCTGAACTTCTAAACAGGCCTTGGTCCAAAAGAAGGGAATGAACTCTTTCAGGAAAGCGAGAGGTTGGGCAAGGGCAGCCATCGCTCAAAGCCTCCTGAAACAATGCAGCAGCCCCCACTGAACACACACACACACACACACACACACACACCAACTGGGATTGCTCTGCCACAGGAAGCTTTGTGGTACTGCTGATCCCATAGGCTAGCAAGTTCCCCAGCCACTTACGTATTTGCAGCTCAGGACAATGGCAGTGGCAATGCCAGTCACCATGAAGACAATGGCCATGATACAGAAGAAACCACGACAGGTTGTGAGATCCACCTGTCAAAGGAGGAAGTGACAAAAATACCTTATTACCTCTGGAAATATTACTGCCCAAACGTATTCAGTTATGAAGTCCTGCGTCAGGGGTGGGCAACCATTTTTTGTACTGAGGGCAACAGGTAAGCCAAAGACAACAGTGTCCTGGATTAGCTAACCTGAAATAAAAACTGTCCACTTTCCACTTTTGGCCATGGCTACCTCAGATTAGAATTCCCAATCCTCTGCAGGTCTGTTCAGAAGCCCCACTAGGTATGATGGAGTTCCTCTCAAATCAGTATACAGAGGAACTGTGGGGGCACCTTTTTTAGCACAACAGACAGGAAAGCAAGAGAAAGTAATTCTTTTCTGATTTTAGTGTGGTACATACACATGGCGGAAGCCTACTAATTTGCTCTCAGGGGGGGGGGACTTAAGAACATAAGAAGAGGATCCGGCCAAATGCCCATCTAGTCCAGCATCCTCTTCTCACAGTGGCCAACCAGATGCCTATGGGAAGCCCAAAAGAAGGACCTGAGAACAACAACACTCTCTCCTCCATCCCTTTATGCCCCCACCAAACCATCTAACCAGGTTTTTAAAATCAATTTATTTTAATGAGATAAAATATTCCCTGTGTAGTTCTGAAACTACACACACAGAGGGTCTACAATATACAGCTGATGTGAAAGTTTAAGGCAAAAAGCAAGAACCGCATAAGCACCCTAGGAGACAACTATTTAGTATTGAGTGTTTCCATGTTCCTATCCATGGAAATCCAGTGTGTGAGGAAAAGGAAGCCCTCTAGTTTAGAGCTTGCCAGGCTGGAACCAGTTTTCTATCTGCATATACCATTTTTTAATGGAGGGGTAGTCACAATTGCAGCCATTAGCCTGCATTATGGTGTGTCCCCCGAAAGATCAGCTCATGGGAGCATACAAAAGAGAAGGGTGGCTGTCTAGCCTAACTCATGAAATGGAGGGCTGCATGTTGTAATGACAGGCCAGGTGTACATAACACCATGACAAGGATTTTTTTGTTTATGACAAGGACCTTGTATTGTAAGGGTGGGATCCAAACATGTTTAGCTAAGTCACCATTTCCACCACAGGGCAATCACCCTTCCTAGGCCTGCTAACTGTACTGGAAAAACAGGGCTTTCTCACCTTTGTCTGAAAGGAGAAAACAGTGACAGTGATGGTTACAACTGCTGTGATGATCATGGCAATGACTACAGTCTTGGTCTCATACACGCTGGTAACAAAAAGGTAAAAAATAACAATCATACATTTTTGTTGTTAAAATAATTTTATTATAATGTAAGAGCGACAACAACAATAAAATTAGGCACAATGTACTTTTCAAACTTGAGGGGTTGTATCCTATGCTCCAGCCACATGATTTTGCTGGTGCAAACATAGGAAAATAGGAAGCTGCATTATGCCAAGTCAACCTTTCAGTTCATCCACCTCAGTTATGCCTACACTGACTGGCAGCAGCTCTCGAAGGTTGCAGCAGGTTTCTCTCAGCCCTAGGAATTGAAGCTGGGAGTGAACAGGTGCTCTATCATTGAGCCAAGACCCTTCTGCTTCCTCTCCTCACCCTGTGCACCTACAAAATGTGCTCCACAGGATCCCCCAATGCTCCAGAGCTGATTTTGAGGGCATGCAGGGGGCTGGAGGGGACAGGAGAGGAAGCAGCTCTGTGGCACGCAACAAAGTCCATTGTGCCAGCAGAGCTGCAGCGTTGAATATCATCCTCTAATAGCCAAAAACAACGCCACTTCCAAAACTGCATTATCAAAAACATAACAGTATACATGCTCATATTTTTTCACCAAGAAGGAACACCATTTATTTCATCAAGAATCTGCTTGATTGTTTGCTTCTCTCACAGTGCAATCCTAGGGATGTTTACTCAGAAATAAGCTCCACTATGTTCAGTGGAATTTCCCCAGTAGCAATTAAAGAATCTAGTAGGGGGGGGGTTGTTGGGGTTTTTTTAAAGGAGAGGCTGGACAGCCATCTCCCAGGGAAGCTGTGGCAGCAGACTGCCTGCATCAGCAGGAAGTTGGAGTAGATGACCTTTGGTCAGTTCAGCTCCAAGCACCCATAATTCTAGGTTTGTTTAGGATTGCAGACTTAATTTTGCATTATTGGCTATTGTTTCCCTCTCTACTACCTCCTGTACTTTCCACCTGCTGAACTTTTCACATTCTGTCAGGATGTTAAATTATTTCCACACTTTTGCTATGCAATTTTTTGTATTTTTTTTGCAGCCACAACCATAGAAATGAGTTCCATGCAGAGGGGTGAAAAGGGATGTGCAGTAGTGTCTGGGGATATGACCTATTTGGAGACATTTTCTAAATCCAGCTCAGAAACAGCTTCCCACTGTGTAGGCCTCTACTGTATCACTTCCATTTACCACTTTGCACCGTACCTTGCGATTGTGCCAGTCATGAATGCCGTGGACATGGTCTAGGGGAAATCAGAAAAAAGAAAAAAAAAATTAACAGAGCACCATCTACACTAGAGATGGTGAACATGTGGCCTTCCAGATCTAACAGATTCCGTAATCTGTGGCCACTGACTATCATGGCTGGGACATATGGGAGTTGGAGTCCAACAACATCTGGAGGGTCACAGGTTCCCCCTTCTGTCCTACAGCATCCTTGGACCCCCTAGTTACACATCAGGACAAATAGTTTCGGCTTCTTCCATTATTTACATAACAGAAATACTTTATCTGCTACTCTGTGCTGGCCCTTTCCTTGCACTAAGGCAATCATCCAGTCAGCACAAGCTTTTCACCTCACCAGATGGAACAACCCACCCCCCCACCCCACCCCACTTTTCCCCACATACTTTTCTGTGTCTTCTCACACACACACCTAAAGTCAATTTTGGGGGTGTGGGGAGAAGAAAAGGGGGAAAGCCCACTTCCACTAGCAAGGCTAGTTAGTTGATCCCAATATTTGATATACAAAGGTGTTCTGAATTTATGAAAAGGGGATAGAATTGCAAGTATTTATTTTTTACATACTAAACCAATTTGGACAATTTATTTTGCTTGAAAATTTGTGGCGAGTCAAATGCATTGCCCTACACTTCATCTTAGACCCTTCTTCCACCATCTCCCCCCAATAGAGATTTTGCATCATTCCAATGCAAACCACACAAAAAACTGTACTTACAAAGATAGTCATGAGGATTATGTTCCATGGGAAGCGCCTCCTGAAAGACACCAGCAAGAGAGTCAGAGAGTACGTGCAGGCGGTCTCACCTCAAGAAAAGGAGCCTTCTGAGAGAATTCAACATCCTGATGACACTGCACTTCAAATCTCCTAATGCATGGGTAGGCAAACTAAGGCCCGGGGGCTGGATCCAGCCCAATCACCTTCTAAATCTGGCCTGCGGACAGTCTGGGAATCAGCGTGTTTTTACATGAGTAGAATATGTGCTTTTATTTAAAATGCATCTCTGGGTTATTTGTGGGGCCTGCCTGGTGTTTTTACATGAGTAGAATATGGGCTTTTATTTAAAATGCATCTCTGGGTTATTTGTGGGGCATAGGAATTCGTTCATCCCCCCCCCCAAAAAAAATATAGTCCGGCCCCCCACAAGGTCTGAGGGACAGTGGACCGGCCCCCTGCTGAAAAAGTTTACTGACCCCTGTCCTAATGGCTGCTCCCAGCGGCTTTATGGAGATGTTAACTTGGGGAAAATACAAGTTCCCTGTAGTACCCCACAGCACAACTGGCAGGGAACTGAGATCACCCTGTAGTTCTCTCTCTGAACTGGCCCTATGGACATAAGTGAAGCCACTGTACCCAGAGAGCTGGCCAAGTAAGATACCAAGGCAATTTATATCCAAAGCCATTGTCAAAATGCCAACTCCTTTGACAAGTCCATCTTCTGTCATTGTCCCCTCCCTATGAGTCCCAGCAAATGTTGAAACTGTTTTTTGTGTGATCACAAATCTCATCAACAGATACGTACTGGATGCTTCTACACAAGGCCAGCACAAGGTAGCAGATCAAGAATACAGCACTAGGGATGAAAGAGAGAGAGAGAGATGACTTATTTAAAACTAGCTGGCAACTCTAATAAATAAACAGCTTTCCAAATGTAGGAGGTCCCTCAAGCCCTTCTTGAACATGAGGGAGATAGCCTCCATACAAAAATAATATCCCTCCCATCAATTGACTATGCATGTTTGTTATTTAATTTAATAGAATTTATATACTTTCTAAACATCAACAGCATTTTACATAAAATATAAAAAGCGCATTAAAATTACCAGTAAAATCAGATGTCATTGTTTCATCAGGAAACTATGGTTGAAGAAGGCAGGTTTCCTCTAGGGAAGGATACCATGTGCAACTTATTCCCCAGAGGCCCCCTGCACAACACAGCCATTGTGCTGTTATGAAATGGTAGTGATGGAAGTTACAGGAGAGACAGGGTGAGAGAATCTGACATGAAGCAGCTTAGCTGGCCAGTAGAGCAATCTGTCTTGGCAACAGGTCAAGAGCGGAATTTGGCTCTGCTTCTGTAAAAGGAGTGATACTTACTAAGATACATAGTACAGGGCAATATTCCTTTGCACATAATGGCTCACAGGGTGTCTGTGGGGAAGGAAGAGAGCACAAGATGAGATACCTGCCCTGATTCTTGCAGTTCTGTACTGCCAGAATAGTTTCTGGATCAGAACATGGCAGGCAGAATCCAGCTGGATTTTGGAGGAGCATTTTGCCATTTTTCCGTAGTGAAAATGATGAAACTTTGAAATGACAGGGTTTTTCAATTTATGTTTTCCATTTAAAAGACAAAATTATAACAATGGAGAAACGATGCACTGGTGCAATTCTTTCATGGCATAATTTTGCATGTTTTTTTTATGGGCAAAAAGAAAAGGGGGGGAAGAACCCATTCAAATATCTCTTTATTAAAGATTTTGAGAAAAGCCAAGGTCACAAAATAAAGTATCCTTTCCCATCTAGAAAAAAGTTCTACAAAACAAGCCCAAATGACAGAGAGGCAGATATTTGAACAATTTCACCACTTTAAAATTGCAGGACAGATTAAAAAAAAAAAAAACCAAATCAACATAAAATACTTTTTTTCCTGATTTTAGGGAAATGGCACAGGTACAGAATTCCATCTGCTACAATCTAGAATCTGAATTTCCAAATGGAACTAAATGGGAATAGAACTAACCAGACGTCAGAATAGGGGGGGGGGCAACTGGTTGATTCTGATAACCCCTACCTTTAGAGTTCCAGAACCCCTCCAGAGTTCTAGCAGAGCACCAGAAAACTTACGAAAAAGTGAAGAGTGCAACGATGCCCACAGTCACCAACAGCTGAAGGGTGATGATGCTGTAGACCTGGTCATGAAGACAAACAAGATGTGAGCATCTGCATACATATATAAATGCAAACAAGCGTGTTGCAATCTACAGGTGCCAAGATAGCCCAGCAGCAAGATCAGATTCACAGATTCACAAATGGTGACTGTTGCTGAACTGTGTACTAGAGCACCTTGACCCTATCATATATGCCTTCTCCCTCTCCCTCTTCCCCAAAGTGCCTTCAGACTCACCTTGCGAATGAAAGTTTGCCGGACATTCTTGTCAACCCAATAATCAATGTGAAAACCCCCATCTTCCTCTACGAGACACTCCAAATCTGTTGTATCTGATGACAAACAGCAACATTTGTTAGTGTAAATTTCAAAGCCACAAGATCTGGATGGTACAGATTCCACCCTAGGGCCCATAGACACTGCTGAAGCATTGCTTTTCCACACTTAGCATGGAGTAGAATTCAAACAGTGGTTCAACAGGACCTTTAACATGACACTATATTATCCATCAATACCCACTGCAATCCCAATAGTTGTTGGTAGCCCCCACCAGTGGCTACTGTTTGTAGTTTAAGAAATATATTAACTATGCATTTAACATCCCATCTATTTTGGTTCTTGGCTTGCCTAGTACCTGGCGCCTCTCCTCATACCAGCTCTCAACTTTCCTCCCTGTTTGTGGAGATTCTCCTGTCCCCAGCAATTCGCAATATTCTCGCCCCTCAACCCTCTGCCACATTTCTTGCAGAATCTCTGCTTTTAACCAAGTGAGTCGAAGTATGCTCTTGCACCTGCAGCTCCAGTTTTCTTGCCATCATAGGGAGGTGGACTCTGCTCTGCCATGATGTCTCAGGGAGGCTTAGCACAGCACCTGGAAAAAACCAAGGAGGTAAACCCTCATTATCACTTGGAGAGTGAAAACAAACATAAAATACAGGGTGCAAAATACAACATGCCCTTCCCTGAGGCAGCACCCCTTCTCTGAACCACTGGTTCTGAACATACCAGGCCAAAGGAGCCCAGCAAGGTGTGCCAAGCATAAACCGTAAGGGGAAAAGGTGTTGGATCCAGAGTGCAGCATTCAAAATTCACCAGGTACCAGGGGAATTTTGCTCCTGGCTATCAGCTACTTGCAACCAAGTGAAGATGCCCTGGGTGCCAGGATGGTGTCTGATGTCTCCACCATCTGGAGCTGCATGCCTAGGCATCCTTGGATCTTGACTGTTTTCACCCACAAGCAACACATTCTGTAGAATTCTATCCATTATATTTGAATTTCGGAAACCAAAAAGTCATATTGAAAAATACAACTTCCAAGCCGCCTGGGACCCAAATGACAACTAGGCATTCTGTTTTGGCAACTGTAGCCCTGGTTTAAAGAGCCATTTGAGTTTCTAACACTGCCAGAGTGACTGCTTATTCCAGAGAGGCTGGCCTTCAGGAGGCTGTAAAGGCAGGACCATAAAGAACAAAGATGAGGGAGTTTCTATAATGCATGAGTTCCTGGTGGTGGGAATTTGGACAAGGGGCTGCCACCTACTTCTGCTCAGCTGGAGCTACAAAGCACGTTCTTAAGAACTGGCCTATGCATTAAAAAAATGGTCTCTGAGGTAGCCTATCTGTAGGTTCAAACTCCTGTTCTTTCGCCATAGCCTGTTGCCTTGTCTTCTAGGCCCATGGAGGAAAGGTGTCTGCACTCCATGACATAGCTTGGGTGTGGGGAACCTTCAGCCCTCTCTAGATGATGTTGCTGAACGACAATGCCCATCATCCCTGGCTATTGACCGTGCTTGCTGGGGCTGATGGGAGTTGTGGTTCAGCAATATCTGGAGAGCCAAAAGTTCCCCACACCTGACATAGCTGAAAGTATCCATCACGACACTAGCTGCCTGATTTGCAGTGTTTCTTCAAAGAGCCGTATATTTTTAATAAATGGAACATTGCAATGAAAAGGGGGGCAGGGAGCATTCTGAATTGGACCCTGAAACTAACCGTACTTGTTTCAGGACTGACCCTCTGCAACCCATCTCCATCTCCCAGCAGCCAGATTCTGAACTCTTCAAAAATAGCCCCATGAAGAGATCTGTGATCTGGCTGTCACTAAGGCATGACTCAATGTTGCTGCTCAACCTATTAAAGGAAGGGCATATGGTGGATATACCCACCTAAACTGAGGGGAAAGGCAATCCTGGCCACCACTATCACCTGCTCATTTAAAAGCAGTTCCATATAAAAAAATAATACTCACACTGTGAGTTCTCACAGGAAGCGCAACCCTGAGCAAAACAAACTCTGTGGTTAAGTGGGGGAAGGACTGTCTGCTATTGGTTAGTCATCGCCCCCTTTTTTCTTTAGGGGTCTGTCACTTCTGAATGCAAGTATTCTCAGAATACATACATATATTATTGTAATCTTAATACACTACCACCCCCCGACATCTGAACAGCACACTGGCTAAATGGAACAGCATTTGGTTCTTTCCCCCGCCCCCCATTTCCTCACTAACATTACTGGACAGGTTGATGGACAGCTTGAACAAATAATTAACAATATATATACCATGTTTCAGTTCTTCTTTTCTTCCAATTAACTTCCTTCATCCTCAACATGGTTCTCTTTTCATTTTTTGTAAACTGTCTCCTTATTTCGTTATTACCACTTTTTTCTTTCTGTTTTTTAACTTAAAGGCCATAATTTATTTTGCAGAAGTTAATTGAAACAAGTCCAAGTACTAATTTGAGGGCACTCTTTTTAAGGTATCATTTATATTTTTCTCATTCTTTTTGAAATTTTTGTTTGGGCTGACCCTAATAGCCTCTGTCAATCTGCCAAATTGGCAGCGTTTGGTTCTATGGCAGAGGGGATATGCGCCTGACAGTTCTATTTATTATATATTCACATTCCAGATCTTTTAGAGAATGTGTTGGGAACCTTTAGCCCTTCAGATGTTGCTGAACAATAACTCCCATCATCCCTGGCCATTGGTCATGCTTACTGGGGCTGATGGGAGTTGTCCTTCAGCAATATTGGGAAGCCCAATGATCCCCCATCACTGTTTTTAAGACTATCAATGTTTCTAAGAACAATTAATACAACGTACAAATGTATCTGCAAGAATACGATGATATGTGAATAACATACATGCTTTAAATTGGCACTGCATTTTACACCCATCAAAGTCATGGAAACACAGGTGCCTATCTGGTTCTGTATCCTGTTCTCATGGCGGTCAACCACGTGTGTGGAACAACAGGTGATTTCCAGCAACAGGTATTCAGAGGCATACTTACCTAGTGTTATCTAGCTGCCACTGATATACTTATCCCTCCATGACTTTGTCTAATCATCTCTATCTTCTAACTCAGTTTTTCCAAACTAAAAAGCCCCCAAAGTCGCAATGGTTTCATCCACACGGGAGAGTTCCTCCACCCACTTGATCATTTTGAGTAATGGAGATCTACTTTCTGCAGCAATTCACAGCAAGCAGCACTTTACATCATAGAAACCTCAAAATATCTCACTGACAAGGCCATCTTCCTCAAACAATTATCTTCCATAAACTTTGAAACACTGCAATTCAAAGGAAATGGCTTCAAGACATACTCAAACTTACGACTCTCTGGGGCATTTCTTAATATTATTTCTTAATAGCACAATTTCATGGCATACTTTTGCCGGTTTGCCTGAATCAGCAGCTTCCATGAACATGTTGGAGCAGATAAAGAACCATTACTGCTCCATTATGGAACAAGAGCATTCGAACAGGCTCACCATGCTTAGTATCAACTGTTGCATGGCACAAAAGCTACATTTCCACCTCAATAATTAGTGCATTTGCACAGAAATGAAGCTTCCGTTATTTTTTTTTTAATCAAATGACGTCTCACTCTTTTTTTTAAGAGCCTTATTTTGATATTTTTGCATTGTCGTCATTATGGGCTAAGGATCTCTGAAGCTGGAAGTGTCCTGGGCCTGTCTGGACCCGAGAGGGTCTGCTCGCACGTGCGATGATGTGGGTTTGAGAGTAGCGTTTATCCCTTAGTTAGATCCCGTCGGAAAAGTCACAGCCGAACACAAGGCGCCGGTGGTCCTTGTGCCAGTCGGTTTATTTCCAGGCAAAAATGTGCTAGAAGTTATTGATCCCCTCAAGATCAAATTAGACTCCACCCCCGCCCCTGAATCTTAGCGTGGGAATTAAAATTAGACCTGAACTTTGGAGACTGAGACTTTTTCGCTGGCTAGAGCGATGCCCGTCCAAACCGAAGCGACCCCCTACGCCATGTGACCGAGCACGGGTACCCAATCCCTTGCCCCAAATTTCCCAGCATCCTTACCTTAACCCGTGTGCCTAGCTCCGGAACCCTCGTCTCCCGTTGCCAAAGTTTTAGACCGAAAAATGACCTACGGCTCTTCGAAGTAAATCCCGAGAATGATGGGAGAAAAGTTCCCAGAAATGACGAGGAAGTGATGGGAGGGGGAACGTTTGGTCCCCTCCCTATTGCATGAAGCGGGCTATGGGATGGAGCGGGAGTGCCCCCAAGAGGAGAGCTGGAGCTATTGCAAGCTCCCCTTGTGTCGAGAGCTCAGGGAGGAAATGTTAGCACTGAGGTCAGAGGAAATTCCCTGTTCACCTAAAAAGTAGCACTAGAAGTCTTGGAAGGCCCCACATCAGCAGATTTCCTCCTGGATTCATTCCTTGTCCTGGAATCATGTACTAGCCACTACTGTTTGAACCAACACTTGGCTGCTGATAAACCCTTTGGGCAATTGCAAGGTTAATCTTCCTCCAAATTGCATTAACACTTGCAGATAGACACACTCCTGGCTTTTGAGCACATCAGGGACAAGTCATTAAGGTAAGTCATAAATGAAGTCTGGTGTTGTAATCCATGCAAATAGACTCACTAAATGGGGTTGAAGCAGGACGTTGGGGTTGTGAAAGCCCAAAGATCATTGTAGGGTTAAGAGAGACACTTAAGGGTGGTGGCGGCGGCTGCCTCCCGGCATCTGCCACCTGAGGTGGTTGCTTCACTTTGCCCAATGATAGGGCCAACCCTGCATGCCCCTGTTGTTTCATTTGTATTTCTATGGTTGGGGGAGTGTTACAGAGACATAAAAAAATGTATTGGGGAAGCAGCAAACATCACCTTACAGTGCGTAGGCTTCTAGTAGTCTGGGAATATAATACATGAGACTTTGTGGTGTCAGAGTGATCAGACCTTTGTGCCTTATTGAGACTGCAACTGCACCTCAAAGTTGAAGAAAAAAACAGAATGCAAACACAAAGGAAACAGGAAACCCACAATAACAGAAAAGATTAGTTCAGAAACCACACCATGTTTCCCAGATCTTCTGAGACGGAAGGAGGAGTCAACCTGCTAAGCAAATGGGCAACCAGTGTATATCTCTTGCCTAAAGGTTTTACATGCTCAGAGTCTCACTCCTGCCAGCAACAAAGCTGCAGTATTCTGCATTAACTGCAGTTTCCAAGGGAAGTACAAGGTAAGCCCCACATAGAGTGTACTGCAGTAATCCAGTTTTGAAGTCACCAGTGAGTGCACTACTGTGGTCAAGATCTCCCAGTCCAGGAAAAGCTGTAGTGGTTGCACCCGTTGCAGTATAACATTGCATGCCAATCTGGGGAGACCATAAGTAACAAAAGGGACAGCCCTTTCCATCTCTGACTTGGGTTCCAATTGCTTCAGAACAGGTACACCCTTCCCCTCCCTTTCTCACTTTTTTTTTTTGAGCATGAGTCTGTGGCAAATCGTCATGCTTAAAGTCTCTCTAGGCTTTTGGGATAGATAGGGATCCTTTAAATCTTTAGAACAAGGTGTGTATGCTGTATGATTTACTGTGCACATAACTACTGTCTGAAGCAGCACCCAACTATTGTCAACACTATCCTTTCCTCAACCTGGTGCCCGACATGTTTTAGACTACAACTCCCATCAGCCTCATCTGCACCTACATGACCTTATCAAATTCCATGACTTCCAGTATCACCCAGTTGTATTATTTGTTTTTGAGAAACCCATGCTGGGTCTCGGTAATCACAGCATCCTTTTCTAAGTGCTCACAGACCGACTGTTTAATTCTTTATTCTAGGACCTTTGCTGGTATTGATGTCCAGCTGACCAGTTGGTAGTTATGAGGGTCTTCTTTTTTCTCCTTTTTGAAGATGGGGACTGTCATGAAGGAGTGGTTCTGTAAGCAAGTATTGCTGGGTGGGGGCCCTCAGGCAGGTGTTAACAATTAGTCCCCAAAGTGGGAACAGATGATGGGGCTGCCTTGGGGAGGAAGATAATACACCGTTGACTAGACTGCCATTTGATGCCTGTCGCTGGCACCAGAGAAGATGGCAATAAAGCCTGATAACCCATTCAGTGCCTACGTGTGAGTTATTAGAAGCTTAGAGGGAGGACTCAGGAAAGTGATCTCCTCCTTGACAGGGACAACATTTGCCTGTCTCCAATCTGCAGGGACATTGCCTGTTCTTCAAGAATGCTCAAAGATTATACAGATAGAGGCTCTGAGATTACAGCTGCAAGCTCTTCTAGTTCCCTTATGTTTGTTTTGTATTTCATGTTGATGAATGTAATTATTACATTTGCATTTTTTTATAATGAAAGTTAATAAACATTGTAACAATAATAATAACAATAATAAATGCAACCAGCATAACACTGCCCCCATCACATCAATCTGGGAGATCTTATTCAAAAATATAAATTTTATTTGCAGTTGTATAGTTGAGCCCTGGATCTTTGGATTTTCTAACTGGAAGGGCCATCTACATTTTAGATAAGTAAGCTGACCAAAAACAAACAACCAAACAAAAAATACAAATAAGAGATAAGTTGAGAGGGCTAGGATACATCACTCCAAAGCAGTGATACAGATTCCTGTATCCAGGGCATCAGATACAAAAAGGGGATTCCACATGTGGAAATGGAGAAAGAAACGACATTTTACAAATTAGAGTCAATATCTACAGCGTATACAATGTATCATATCTTATCTTTAGCTCTGTCCACTATGTGAATCCCTTAGTAGCGTCTATACATTCTAGGAGGCGAGAGCAACGCAGCAGAACATTATATTAAGAAAGTCGAAGTCAGGGGTCCTCTGAACTTCTAGGGAGGGTTGCCAAAGTTCTAGCACAGAGGCACGGCCTCAGCTTCCTAATCTCTGCTGCCCACAATCTGCAAGAGGAAGGTGAAGATGTAGACTATGTCTGTGTAGATCTTGAGGGCGCCGTAGACATATTCCTCAGGGCTCATGGCGTGTTTTCTGTTGCCCAGCAGCAACTGGGTATCATAGGCAAGAAACTGTCAAAAGCCATGAGGAAATCAGTTAGTCACAAGTTTGAAGAAATTACCAAAATTTTCTTCATTCCCCGAGTTAGCTACCACAATCCATGCATTATTTTGGTACACACATACTGCCTTTGTCATACTGCAACCACACCCATTGTCCTAATTACTACACCTCTGCTCTGAGACACTTGCAATTAGCAACCTACCCAGTCACCCAAGATAACTAAAATTCAGGGGCGCCGACTTATAAAAAATATTGGGGGGGGCCCCATACCGACTTATAAAAAATATTGGGGGGCCCATACCGACTTATAAAAAATATTGGGGGGCCCAAGACCTCCAAACCGCTGCTGCTGGGGGAACGAAAGGGGCGAGCCCCGGGCTGCCCCGACCTTAAGTGAACCTGTGAGGGCCCGCCCTTTGCGGCAGCCGATTGGCTGCCGCCGTGGGCAGTGAATATTAATGAGCTAGGGGGAATCCCCGCTTCTCGCGGGGCTGACGCCAGCCCCGCGAGATTGTTGATGGGTCGAGAGCCCGCAACCCCACCCCCTCTCTAGATCGGGAGTGGCTTTGTTTTAACTCATTACTGAATGTATTTTAAAAGGTAACTATCGTCAAACAAGGAAAATAAAAAATACCAACATAATTTTGTGATTTTACAAAGCATAATATAACTAATAATTTTCTTAAATTATTGGGGGGGCAGAGCCCCCCCAAACGAATTTTTGAGGGGGCTCGGGCCCCCTCAGGCCCCATGGAGTCGGCACCTATGCTAAAATTATATCTAGGTGGTGAGGCCAAGTCTTCACTGCTGCAGAGGGTGAGCCACAAATGTAGCAGCCGTAGCACTGCCCATCACACTATGATGACAGCAAACCAGAATGAACCAGAAAGACATTAAATATTGTTTGGGAGGGAGAGCCACCACACAGCCCCCATTGAAGCTGTGCACTGGGCTCTTTCTTGCTCTCTGTTCTTACAGCCATAAGCCTTTAAAGCTATCAAGTAAGTTGCTGTCTACCCCAGCTCCCCCAGGGGATAGCACAAGCTACAGGCAAGGTTTGTTCTCTCACCAGTATTGACTGCCTTGAGTCCTATTGATGTAGAGCAGGCAAGAAACCTAAATGACCAGCAATTATATATACACAATTATATATATCTACTAACCAGGGTGAAGGCAATGGCACCAATGCCTGCGTACAGCATGTGGAGCCAATAGACCTGCAAGGAAAGAGAACCAAATGAGTCGTTGGCCTGCAAGCGGAGTGTTTTGATTGAATTAAAACTTCACTGACAGCATCTCTAGGCCTGTCCACAGAGCACAAATAGGAGCAGCGGCTGGGAGTGAAATGTGAGCATCAGTACAGAGTCAGGACCCATTTGGAGGAACTGGAGAGTGCGAATTAAACATTCCAAAAAGGAAGGTTGGCAGGACACTGAACCCCCACATTACTGAGCCAGACACTTGGTTAGCTGCAGTGATTTATCAGTATTAGCTGGTAACTGATGGGAGCATGCAGTGGTCAAATGCAAATCACACACACATGACAAGTTCCTTGCAGCTGTAAAGCAGGGGTGGGGAACCTGTGCCTGCCAGATGTTGCTGGACTCCCATCACAGCCCCAGACAGCATAGCCAATGGTCAGAGAGGATGGGAGTTGAACTCAAGCAACACCTGGAGGGCAACAATTTTACCATTTACATCGCCAATCCCTTCCCAGGCCAAGCTTTCAGTGTCAGCTACTTACGTATTTGAAGGCCAGAACAATGGCTGTGATAATCCCAGTCACCATGACGACAATGCCCAACACACAGAACAAGCCGGTACAGGATGTGAAATCCACCTGCCAACAACAGCAAGACACGTTTTGGGGAAAAGATGCAGATAGCAAGTAGCTCGCTCTACACAATACCTCAATTTGCCCTGCAGGAGACCTCTTCGCTCTACCAACTCCATGATACATAAGACACACACACCAGGGTGGATTTGATTTAAATCAGTGTTTCCCAACCTTTTTTGGGCAAAGGCACACTTGTTTCATGAAAAAAATCTCGAGGCACACCACCATTACAGCCCCGTGATGTCAGCGCGCAGCGTCACGCCGGGAGGGACGCACGAAAGTGTAAGTTTCAATTTTTTCCCCTCCCCCTTGCCTTCCTTCTGTGCCAACC